ATTAGGAAGGAGAACATAAATGTATAACTGATGAATACAAATTTCCCTGTCAGAGAAACAGTCGGTGAGCGATCATTGAGCGCGTGCCCTCTCTGCGCTACGCCCTAGTCGTTTAACTTACACAAAATTTCGCATCTTCACTCGTACTATAGCACCATCCACAAAACCACTGTTTTCGTCGTGACCTTCAGTACTGCCGCCAGCAGAAGACCGTGCTTTTTTGCTTGATTCAAAATGACTTTTCAGGCTTGATGTTGGCCGCTTCGACGCCATGTTGGATGGTGAAATTTCCCGCTAAATGTCTGTTAGCATACGGGGTTTTCAATTTTTCCATATATGGGCAATCATTTCCAAATTTGGAAAGCTGACTGTTGAAAAACTTACAGAGCATGACGGAAGTACTGCGTCACGCAACGGGCAGCTGCACATGTGAACATACAATTCTCTCTGTTTCCTGGAAGTTTCCTATGTTTTAATTAAAGATCTCGAAGGCAGCTTATATCGTTGCTTTCAGTTATCACTTTCCAGAAAAGGGAATGTTCTCGGAATGGATCTAGTGACGACGCAATGAGCAAAGGTATTTTTTTTTAATATATTGATTATGCATGAAACGAGACATGTAAGGACACAGTCGAATATAGGCTGAAGCTCTAAGAATAGCTTCCGTGTTTTCGTGGAAGTGTGATGTCTTAAGTACAGTTTGGTATATTTTTTTACGTGTCATAGTTTGCTACTGAACCATATCATAGGTGAAACTGAACGTTAAGTCAATTGGTAACCGCTTTTTGCACTTGGCTGGCTGTCAAAATTTTCTGTCATTAGACTTACTTCATTATCATCGTGATAATTTATGCATGGCGGTTGGAGACGCATGGGACGAGATTATAAGTAAGTGAATTTCTTGTAAATTCGTCGTTTAACGTTGATTTTTAATCTACGTGTGAATTTTAAGCATTTTTGATGTCTTCTAGAACGTTCATAGCAAATTTTGATGTTCTGCACACTGTATTCACAAACTGAAATTATAAGCCACTCATCAGATGTCAACTTGTTAATGCATGTAAGCTTTTGTAAGCATACGAATGTTTCATCTCTCTTTGTATTTTGAAAAGCCAGTTGAATGTACATTTGCAAGAAACCTCACTTCCCAATGCTGAATTTAAATCAAGGATAAAATTGAACCTCAACATTTTCACTGTGTACATGTAAATGTTGTGGTTTCAATTTAATAATCGCTTCAAATTTTATTTTCCTTTGTTTTTTACTCATTATCAAGAAATAGCTTGCACGAAAATAAAAGAAAATAAGATTTTAATCAAGGACTTATTTTAACAAAAATAGTTGTTTAGTTCTGAAATTGGGTAAAGTTTTCTGCTCTTGTAAACCATATAGGCTGGGTTGTTTTTCTAATCATTTGTCTCTTGAGGCCTGGTTCAGACACCACTCCACTCATGTGCCAAACCTAACTGATGCATTAAGCACAGCAAAAGAGCAGTGTCTGAATCAGTTTGGTACGGCAGTTTTAGTTTAGTGCGGCAAAAGTGCTCAGTTCGACAGAGTTTGTCAAACTTTTGTTTAACTTCACACGGTGCACTGTTGGAATCAGATGTTGGCGCCAGTGTTGTGCTAAAGTCAAACTTATTCAATTAGGTTTGGCACATGAAAAGTGCGACATCTGAACCAGGCTGAGAGAACACCTTGCACGCAGAACCTCTTTTTGTTTTCTTGAGCAAAAAGGAGAAAAGGAAGCTCTCCTTGAATGACGTCATGCCTTTAAAGTTGCCACAGGGCAAACTTCTGGACTAGTCTATCTTGTTTTCTGTCATCAAACTAGTTTTTCAAAAGCAAGCTTCCATGTATTGATAAACTGATGGTCATTACTGAGTCTGCTGTACCTAGCGCACAGCTATTAGGCATTGGTTCAAAACTATATGCTAGCAACATGCAGCACATGCTCAGCAAAGATGCAGAGTCTTTCTCCAGTATGCCAAAATCAATCAAGCAAAAGAAAGGCTCTTTTGGTAGGGCGTTGAGAGAGGGGCTTCAGGTCTGAAACAGGTAGGGCTGTCATTAAGATTTCAAGTTGCCTGGTACATGCAATTAGTAACCACAGAGTTCTTTGGTCTCATTTTCCTTTATTATTTTGTTTCCTTTGAAAATAGCCGGGGTCGTTCTCATAGTAGCCGGGGGATATCCCAGGCCCCCAGCCCTTAATGACAGCCCTGAACAGGGATGAAGATCTGAATGACTTTTTGGGCGTGAAATAGGGTGATTAATTAAGGGTTGTGAGAAGCTTGCTACACACATGCACTCAAATATTCCAGGATACCCCCTTCCCCCAAGGGAGTGGGAGGTAAGGCCAGGATGGCTCATCACGACTACAGGGAAGGACTATCTGCTGAGGAGGCTAACTTTGTATGTAAAGACAAATACAGGCATCTATGCTCAGAGACAATAATATTATTACATGACTTTATTGCTCTCTAATTTGTTCTTTTGTGATTCAGGTGTTTTCAAACAGTTGTGTGAAGCCTGCAGGACAGGTAACCTTGACACACTGTTGCAAGCAATCTACTACAACCAGGATATCGCACATGAGCTCATTTGTGGGGAAGAGAGTGGGACAAATGAATCAACTACTAGAAACTTTTTGTATTTGGCTTGTGAAAATGGACACTTGGATGTTGTGCGTCAACTTGTGGATTTTGGAGCAGATGTCAATCTTGCGTCTTACGATGATCTCACCCCTTTATGTGCGGCGTGCATGAATGGACATGCAGCCATTGCCAGATTTTTGATATCCAGGGGTGCACTTGTACATGACCCAGCACTGGGTCGCTTTTCACCAATTTTATTGGCTTGTAGATCCGGCAAACATGATGTTGTTGAACTTTTATTATCAGAACAACCACTTCTCTTGCGGACACATGGGCAATTACTACTACACGAGGCCTGTAGACTTGGACATGTGCAGGTAGTAAGGTTATTGATTAAGAAAGGAACAGACATTAATCCCCCTCCTTTCAGGGTGACTACAACTGATGCTGAAGCTCAAGTACCAGGAAGTCCCCTTGAAGGTGCTTGTGTAGGACTTCAAACATCTGTTGTTAACTACCTCATTGAAAATGGTGCTGAGGTGACAGATGACATTGTTGAGAATCACTGGGAAATCATAGGAGAAGCACTCATGAGGTATGGTAATAATAAACAATTATTAGATTAGAGTTTTGTGATATCCTGTAGCCTTACATTAACTGATAACCTGTGATAACACTTGACAAGACCTTGATTACATCTGTATTTTGCATAATATTGCAAAACCCAGATGTAATGATAAAATTGTTATTGATTTTGTTATAATATAATTATAGATTGTTTAAAAAAATAATTGTGATAAACACTTGTCGCACAGGACACAGTTTGACATTGCTCATGGAATCTTGCATTGCCTGTACAACCTATATAAATTGTATATCTGCCAGCAGATAACTACCGGTAACTAAATTAATTTGTAGCCTGTACTGATTTCCAAAATTAACTGTGGGCTCTTTGCCAATGAGAAGAAAGATAGTGAGTTTATTGTAAAATAATATAAGTAATTTTCATAAACATTGATCCATTCTTAAGCTAGCATGTTTTTTTGGTATTTGCAGTACAGCTAAAATTAGGCGATACTAGCTTATCCTCCAGGACACTGCCCAGACTATTCTTTGTGCCTATGTAACGTACTGAGATATAAGAACTTGGGCTGCATATTAAGATCCTCATACAGCCAGTTGCTTGATGAGACCGTGGCCAATCTGACAATGTATGGCGATAGGGTATACTCTGTAGGAGGACCAAAATACGGAACAAACTACCACTGAAGATTAGCAATCATTATAAACCGTATTTAAAACTTAGCTCAATGCATATCTTTTCAAGGATGCTTTTGATTTGCACTCTTTTTTTTTTCTCATTTTATCCTTTGCGTGAACATTACTGGTACTTGATTTCTTGTTTATAGATGTTGGTTTTTTTTTTTTACCTAATAAAGAGTTATATAAAAGTCCTGTACCCGTGCACGTTATAAATAACATGTAGACAGTTAAGAGATTTGTCAAAATTAGCTCTTACAAACCAATTTTAGCTTAACAAAGAAATGTGTCCAGGAAAACCTAAGGATTTATATTCACAAGCCAGCTCTTAAGGCAAGCTCATAGATCCTATATGTGTACTGATTGAGTCTGCCATAATAACATGGCGGCTTTTCAATCTTTGTGTCATTTAAAGAAAAACACTATAATTTTTGGGATCGAAGAAGAATACGATGGATCCTGCTCATAATGGACACTAGCATGATTTGAGTGTATTTTAAGAAATATATGCGTCTGAGACACGGGACACACAGGTAGATGGATCACTGCATAATGCTCATAAATGTTACTAATAATTAATAATCACATATGATGTCAATATAGAGAGCTGCCAGTAGATTGAGAAATAGTACCTCAAACATGTGTACCAAACTTTATCATAACATTATATAGTTATGTTTAGATTATGTTTTGATTATAACTAGAGCAAGGAACGTTATTCCTTCTAAATGTACCAGGGTGATTTTTGTATTAGGGTTTCACTGTTAGCTAGGATTTTTTCACCAAGAGCATGTCTTAGTTCAAAGTCACATGACAATCTTAAAACGAAGCGTTTTCACGCAAGAGTCTCTAGGACAACTAGTTAATTTTAGTTTCCTCTTAAAAATGTTACAGTCAAACCTTGTTAACCCTTTAAGGCCCAATATCAACATACCAATTCTCCAAATTGATCTCTGTACATTTCCTTAAAAATGTAGTTGAGAGAATTTGATAAAAGATCAAAGCTTTTTCTATTTAGTGATCATTTCATTAATTCTCATAACCTTATCTCTTGACAAGGTATGTATATCATAGGGAGAAAATTGATGTTTGTCACCATTGGGGCTTAAAGGGTTAATATGGACACTGAGAGGCCTTAGAAATTGTCCCCTAATAATGGGGTGTCGGTATCAAGCTGAGAAGTGGCTTTCGAGTTAAGAAAAAAATGTAAGGGCTTTCTTTCCCCAGGGACAAAGCAAACTGTCTATAACAATGAGGTACCGGATTAAGCGGGTGTCTGTAATGCAGGGTTTTGCTGTAATTTTCTCCTCGGCAGATTCCCAGGGTTCGTATCTTATCCCTTTTTTGTGATGATTTGTTTATAGATACACAAAAGAGTCACAAAACAAGTCAAGATCATCACTTTCCTATGAGGTGGATCCATCTATCACCATGTTCTCTGCCACCTGGAACAAGAAAAACTTGTTTGCTGTTCACAAGGCCTGGTTTGTCAACTTATCAGCGCGGCTTGTGAGTGTTTATTTGTCAGATAACCACATTGAAGAACTGCCAGATGAGCTTTTCAACACTCTACCTGTGTTAGAGGTCTTAGATGTATCCAAAAATAGGCTGCAGTACTTGCCAGATGTTTCCAGCACCTTTACCAGGTACTTAATACAAATTTTCAACCTTTTCAGGGTTCTCCAGTAAAGTTAAAGAAGAAGGAGAAAAAAGTTTTAGACGGCAATGCATTAATTAGATGGAAAAGTGCTTGTGTGGGGGGTTAGGTGTTGAAAGGGGGCATTAGCCCCTATTGTCCCCCACCCCCCACCCCCCTTGTCCCTCCCTCATCAGTCATCAATCAGTGCGAAGCCGAAAGAAACGCGAACATTGAAAAACACGTGCCAAGGGTAATGACGTCATTACTAATGCGATCTCCGCCAATCAGCATTTCGCATTGACTTTTTCGTAAAAATAACAAAAATAAAAATTAGGTTAAAATAACACAACAAATACAACGGATGCCACGCATGGGCAAAACTGAGGAAGACTGAAACGGATTGAAATTAGGGTTTTTGAAAACTGTTCAGCCTAACAGTTTTTCAAAGTTGATCTCTGCTTTTTGCAACTTCAAAAATAATGCTCAGGAGACATATCTGTTTGTCTCGAATCTCTGATTTTGTCATTTCCATGTAATTTCTTTGCTTACTTTAAGTTCCATAGCGATTGAGGGCGATTAATTGGCAAAATGAAACAAAATGAACTGGACTGCCGTGATACAGCCCCTTTGAGTTCATTGTTTTTCTAAGAAATTTGAAAGAATGGCAGAAGAGATCATGGACATATGTCTGCGAGTGCTAAAAGAAAGCAACAAAAGTAGGTTTGACAGCTACAGTGTCAGGAAAAGTGTATTGAACATATCCCATATTACCTTTCGGGATTGTCTTGTGCACATTTTTCCGATAACCTTTCTCGAAATAGCTGTTTTCAAATTCCACAGACGTAGTTGCAAGCTCTCCTTCCTTTTCCCGCCCCACCGCCAGAGCGCCCCGGAGAACTTGCTCGCAGGCTGGACCGTAAACTGCCGATTATAAACCTCCCCACTCATAAGCGCCCCCCCCCCCCCCCCCCCCCCCCTCCAGAAACAGGTCCCTCTCCCCATCAACAAAAAAACACCTCCCAATCTAATTCCCCGCTAATTAACCCCCCTTCCCTCCCCCCCCCCCCCCCCCTTCCTTTTTTTTTTTTTTTTATCCTATTTTTTTTTTTTTTTTTTTTTTTTATTTTTTAAGAAATAAAAAAAAAATTTTTTTTAAGCTAACCAAAATAATTGAATTTTTTTTTTTTTAGTCGCCTCTTTTTTTTTTTTTTACTCTACTATTTTTTTTATCTCCCTCTCTCATGATGTTGGCGGTGGGGTGTCCGCCCTCCGTGAAGATGACTACCGCACAGGTTGTCGAAACGTCAGTCACTGTCAACAACAACAGTCCTATTCAGGACTACGTTCACCCGGACGATCAAACTCAACCTTTTGAAATGACTCCTGGGTTCAAACCTTTCACAGTGAACGTTGTACTAATTTTTAAACTTTCGAAGTGGACAGCAAGTATCACCTTAATAGCTAAATTTGAAACGCCTTCCGTCGCGTCGGTCATTTAAAAAATATTTTTGTTAGAAACCATGAGAGTAGCGCCTGAAAAACCATTGCTCCGCATGTTAGTGGTTTTAAATCGCTCGGCCGTAAGGAAATTTTGTTCTTATTCAAAGAATGACTTACAAGATGTTAGCAAAACGACTTATAAAACGTTTGCGAAACGGCTTATAACACGTTGGCGAAACGACCTAACATGTAAGCGAACGGGATGTGGGCGAAAGGACTCGTAGGCGAAACGACCGGTCACCGTTTAGAAGCCCTGCTAAAACTCCTCACGAAGATGAATAAGCCCGGTATTTAGAAGCGGCGGTTTAGGGTTTCTTTCGTTTGTTTGTTTTCAAACGCGTTTCAAAATGTTTCCTCATCGCCCAGAATTCTATTTTCATTAGCGACATGTACTTACAGCAACCAGTTCGTCAATGCACGGAAAAACGATTAAATGAATTAACCTTTCGGAGTCGCGATTCGGAATGCCGACGAGTCTCTGCAAACTCGGAATCGGTGGCTGTCATTTAAACTGGTTGATGCGTGTAGCTTGAATCTTAAGGTGTGATAAGCGGGCAATGGCACACTAAAAAGGCGGGTCGCGCCGTTATTTGTGTGCAACTAGATTCTTTCTTTCTTTCTTTTTTAGATGTTACACTTGTAAAGTAAAGTAAATGACATTTTTCTTTCTTCCGTAAAACAGGTTACAGAAACTGTCAGCTTGTGATAACGAGCTGATATCCATCCCCGCATCAGTACTGCAAATCCCAACATTGGTAAAGCTCCACTTGGCGCGTAATAAAATCGCATCCTTGTGTGACAACCACGATGACAGTGAAGAAATTTCCAGCACACCTGACAGTGAGACATGGGGCTGTACTGCTCTGAAGGTGCTCAATCTGTCGGACAATAATCTGCAGCATTTACCCAGTGGAATCCAGGGCGCTACCGCATTAACAAAGCTATTGCTTGATCGTAATGACCTGAAAAATTTTCCAATGCCTTGGAAGTGTCCCTTGGTAAGTATGAAGGAGCAATTTACAAATAAGAGCATTTGTGTGATAACGCTATACGAGAAAAGACGTTTGTGAAAGAGTTTTGCTTTAGTGGTGAAACAGGCGTTTCCGAAAAAAAATTCCGAGTTCTCCCGACAAGAGACGAACCTATGACCTTCTGGTGACTAGTTTAGACGCTCTACCACCAAGCTATAGGAGACCCGTGGAAGTTGAAGACACTAACTACTATACATTCATGTCATTGCGACAAACAACTTGTCAGCTACTTCTAGGACAGAGATGTCGGAAGTAGACATACTTTTAAAGCCCCCTGGAGGCTTCTATTTTAAGCACGTTTGAAGGTTGGAGGGCTTAACAGAGAGAGGAGGCTTATTTAATTTAGTGTAACTGGGCGCTTTTTCAAAAAACCAGAAGAGCAGCGTAGATAAGGCATATATAGTGCAGAGACTAATAATGCACAAATCGTCAGATATGTCATTCCAATAATTGTCCGAAATCGCAATGGAAGTTAGCCCTCTTTTAACTTAGCTAGGCCCGTTTCAAACGTCGTGCTACTGACGTGCCGAACTAATTTGACTGAATTCAATTCGACTTTAGCACGGCAGTAGCTCGGCTTGGTTTCAAACGTGGCAGTACTGCCGTGCCGAACTCAATTCTTAAATTATAAATACATTAGAATACATTTAAAAGTTTGCTAAAGCATTTCTTTATTTTAGTGTTTTGTTTTCGGCAACAGCCGTTCCGTATTCGACTGAATTTTAAATTCGACGTCTTAAACCAAGTCGTGCTAGTGTCGTGCTGCAGTCTAGCCAGCTTAGCACGGCAGTAGCACGACGTTTGAAACAGGCCTTAGTGCGCGCCTTTTGTGCGTGAGGTCCAGAGTTCAATTCCCAGGGGTGACTTCAAGTTTCCGGAATCTTTGTCAGTGTAACTTGGATCTCTCTATTCTCACACTTTGTTTTCACTTTCGCTCCAGGAATTTTGTTTGACCGCTTCCGCGGACTTCTCTTACACAAAATACGGGCTTTTTTGCAGTCTAACGGCGCTTCCCAAAAGTCAGAATTGACTAGCTCGACCATTGCCGGACTAGTCATTTTGAAAATGAATTAGGCTTTTACCAACAGTTTTTGCTTTAAAACCATCTCTTCGTGCCCATTTTTGTAAGGATTTGACTAATCAGGCTGGATAGTTTTGGTTAAAATTGATTTTTTTTTATTACGACGGGAATGGTCTGGCCGGTCAGTTCTGTCAAATGGAAAGCACCAGACTCTCGTTTCTTGCTTGTCAAGCTAAAGGATGATGCTTTCCATTTTGCGATGACAGGAAACCCTGGATCTTTCCCACAACAACTTCACGCACTTTTCCTGCAATATGGAATTGGTCTGGGCGAGTTCTCTGAAGCGTCTGAATCTTTCGCATAACAAACTGGGCACCATTTCGTGGAATATCTGCCAGCTGACTTGTCTTCAAGACCTGGATGTGAGTCACAATTGCCTCCGGCGACTTCCAAATGAAGAGTTTTGGACATGTACTACTCTGCATAAATTAAACCTTTCACATAACAAAGTAAGTTCTAAACGAGTGAAAAACTGGGTACGAAATGCGACCTCAAAGCTTCTTGGGATCGTTTGGAGGGACAGCATAAAGGCTAACAAACATGACTTACTACAAGTGTGTTTTTTCTGTCCCTTTGAACAATCCCTAGAGCCTTTGCGTTCATAAGTAGTACCAGATGCCGACGATTGACTATTTTGAGTTTGCGAGGGGACTGGGTCGATGTTATGTAGAATTGCATCATGGGACTGTTTAGGGGAACAAAATTTTGAGCACGCTAAAGGCCCAAACGGGCGGAGCTTATCCCTATTTCCTTAACATGAAGCATGCTTAAGATTATTGCTACTCCCCCCTGGACGGGATGCTAGTCCATCGCAGGGTTACGCCCCAGCAGTATGTTACTAGTACCCATTTACACACCTGGGTGAAGAGAAACAAAGTGGAGTAAAGTTCCTTGTCTAGGGAAACAACGCGACGGGCGAGGCTTGAACCCCGGACCTCCTGATCCGGAGTTCAAGGTGTTGACCGCACACGCACACGCACACCCATACGCACACGACTCTATTATAATGTCCCAGAGCAATCAGTCCTTTAAAGCAATTCTAAACAGCAGAAACCCTGTCTCACAATCCACCACAAAATGGGCAATAATTAGTGTTACGTTGTCCCTGGTAGAAGGGTCACTCGCCTATCCGCCCTATGGCCAATAAATACTGTTACGTGGGTCACTCGCCTACCTGCGCTACCCTGGGCGAGCCAGCTTCTCGTACATTTCCAAACTCTGAACGCGGGAAACCGTTTAAATGAGAAAGAAAGAGTTGGCTCGGCTAGAAGGGTAACCTGCCTAGCCGGGTCAACCTTTTTTGATGGTAGGATCGCCTTCCGCTAAGAAGCCGAACGAGCGCTGTACATGTATATGCTTCGTTCTCTGCGACAGCCATGATACAAAAAAGTGCGATACGCATGTATATACCTCGTTCTTTCAGCCACTGATCAGGCGAAAGCCGTCAGCTAACTGACCCAACACCTAAGCGAAGCGACCTCAGAAGTTAGCGAACAGGACGTTGGCGAGACGACTTGTAGGCGAAACGACCGTAAACCTTTCTCCGTTATGGACACTTTGGCTCGCCTATCCAGGTCAGCTCGGTGAAAGCGACAATCGGAGCATGCGCTGGCTCGGGCAAAGGGGACAACTTTGTTGTTGTTGTTGTTGTTGTTGTTGTTGTTGTTGTTGTTGTTCATATACATAAACACTCGCTAAAGTTGACTAGGCTGGGAGGGTGACTCCTTTTCCCGGGACAACTTTTCTTCATACAGACGGGGACTTACTAACAGTCAGGACCGTTTTTCGTTTTGTTGTTGTGTTTAATTTTGTTATGATTTGGTGCAGCTTTCTGCCAAGCCACTGATAGATTCACAGACGGGAACACCGAGGCGGTTTCAGTTTTTCAAGAGTTCCAGCCAGGAAGACGCTCAAGATGTCAAGACTGATTGTGAGGTTCCCGTCTCACTGTTCTCTCCTACGCTGGAAACGCTTCTTCTAAACGATAACATCTTACACGTAGTTCCTTTAAGTGTCTGCCGACTGCTGAGTCTCATAGAACTGGATTTAAGCAAGTAAGAGGGCCGTTCTTTTCGTTGCCTTTTTTAGCCCATAGAGAATTTAAGATGAAAGAATACGGTTAAAGAGCTATAGTTGGACTAGGAAATTCTTGGGGACTAGGAAGGAAACCAAAAAGAAAAGCGACGCAGTCCCCGAGAGAAAATGTACCACGGGTTGTTATAAGCCCGTCAAGGTTGTGACTCATGTGCACGGTCGATTTTTGAGATTCTGGTCTTAGTTTTTGCATTAGAGTTGTCTCTGAGAAAACGAATTAAGATAATCTGTGTAAAGAAAGTGGAATGTAAAGGTTGGGATATTCTTACAGAGGCCTAGGAAATGAGAAGTCACTTAATTTATTGATTGTGTTCGCATAATCTTCTACATTATCAATTCACGAGTTGGCTCGAAGAGCCCTTTGATTCGGAACCAGCGCTTGCGTTGTTATTAACTTCAGCCTCGTTCCCAGTCGTCCTCGGCGATTTATCGGATGTGACTTGACGTCGCCTGTCAAGCATGTCGGAAGAATTCGCCGAGGACGCCTCGCGCTATCGCGCTCGGTTTCAAGCCTCCTCTGCTCACTCTGATCGCGCAAACTGGCCTGGGAAGGAGGCTGAATTAACCTGTTTTGTTATATTTTGTTACAGCAATCCAGAATTACGAACACTTCCTCCTGAGCTTGGTAATTTACGTGAGTGCTGGCAGCTTCGGCTCACCAAGTTAACCCTTCCCGGCATTCCTAAACACGTGAGACCAGGTGAGCTGACAACTGAATCAAAGCTACGGTAAAACGTGCAACAAAAACTGCATTTTGTTTCGAAACATTGCTGCAAGACGAATTCAGAAGTGATGTTGCGCGTTTAACTACCTCCGTTCAAACCTGTCTTGCAACAAATCAAGTTGCTGCAGCTTGCGTGAATACTGACTTCTGATTGGATAAAATTACGTGGGAGTCACGCCGTACGTGGGAGATATGTCACTTGTTGCAGAACAAGTTTGCGTTGGACCACATCAACACCTTGAAGGAGACTTCAATAAGCGACAAAATTAAGTGATACAATTTGCCCTAATGGCCTTTCTGACGTTTTCCCGACTTCTAAAGAAGAATGAAACTTTCCCTTCCCCACCTCTCCATGTAATGTTGTGCCGCTTTTCGAGCTACCTATGAGAAAGAACAATCACTCCAACTTTCAATGGAGGGGATGGGCGAGTGTTTTGTTCTCCAAATTTACCCCATTTGAGGATATTAACCCAATAGTTTTGTCGCCGATTGTTGATTTTCTTTGAAACATTTTTTTTACGACAAATATTCTAAAACTACCCAGCTCCCTAAACTTGCATTTTGTTTTTAGGAGAAAATGGCGTTCGACCTAAAGACACACTGGCGTACCTAAGAGCCACGTTGCGAAAGGCAGTTCCGTATTACCGGATGAAACTTATGGTAGTCGGGTTACAAGTAAGTAAAAGTTCGGGCAGCGTGCTAATATTATGGCCCATCCACGCGACAATGACAAAATGTGTTCAGGTAGCGTGCTAATTATGGCCCATCCACGAGACAATGGTAAAATGTGTTTAGGTAGCGTGCTAGTTAGGGCCCATCCACGCGACAATGACAAAATGTGTTGTCTCTTTTAACAAAAAGTCATAATTTTGTAGTTGCCAAATTTTTTAATTTACGAATATCGTCGCACCGAAAGCATCAGCTCCAAAGGTGCTTTTGAAGTTGATTGATTGACGGGTTTACAGTTATTGCAATCATCTCTCGCCTTACTTTGGTATCACGAACACGAGCAAAATCTCCTGCAAAAAAATTGTGGTAGTTTCACTGAAACAAACTCCCGCCATGAGGTGATTTGGTGATAAAGAACTCTGGTGATAAAGGACGTAACGCGACGGCACAATTTTATTGTTCTAGGTCTGACTAAGGGGCCATGAACGGCATCTTTCAACGCTTAGACAGCAGTAAGATCTTCGTTTTCCGTTTTTATCATCCAATTTCTTCTTTTAGTTAGGTTAAGGCTTTTTCTGTTGCGCGTCAGTGTTAGGAAGGTTTTTAGATTTGTTTTGGCTCATTGTGCTTCACTCGCTTGTAACACTGGTTGTACCTTTTTCCAGGGTCGTGGGAAGACCACACTGTTATCGGCTCTGAAAGGCCAGAAGCTGCCTCCCAATCTGTCTACTGTTGGTATTGTAATTAATGAGTGGCAAGTGCAGATATCGTCCTCTTCTAGGTTCACTCTGCCTCGCTTTCTTGCACAGGTATGTGATGGAAGCCAGGGAACCCTGTGTCATTATTTCTTAATGTTGGTCAACGTCATCAGTTTGTATTATTTACTTGCTTGTGCAATTTTTGCAAGACTGTGCGCGAGCGGAAGTGAAGGAGCTGTTCCGTCGTAGCATCTGCTTTATAGAGGGTGGAATTTGTAGGGGGAGAGATATAGGCTGAGTTAGCAATAGAACGGGAAAGTCAGTTGACGACGGCGCGCGCAAATCAAACAACTGGCTTGACCAAACGGGGTGAAACAGCAAAAAATCGGCGAGCAGTGCTCTTTCCCCTCGCCAGACTCCCTTCAGTTCGGCTCGCTATCGCTCGACGATTTTTCGCTTTTTTTGCCCAGTGCGAAGCCGGGTTCCAGGCTCTCTCAGATCTGAATCGGGGGGCAATACGAACCAGCTGTGCAATGTCTCGATCACTTGCAATTGGGGTCCACTTCTTCTTTAATCCAGTACAAGTACCACTGTGACTGATGTTACGGTTAGCGTTGTCTTTGATAGAGGTTACAGAGGGTATAGTCTTCTTTCTGTTTGTTTCTCTTTTAGAGTGATGCGCCTTCGATAACATTCAGTACATGGGATCTGGCAGGACAGAATGTTTATTACGCAGCGCATCAAATGTTTCTATCGCCCAACACGCTTTACCTGGCTGTGTGGAACGTTACGCATGGAGAGGAAGGAGTAGAAAGCCTCAGACGCTGGCTTCTTAATATACAGGTAAAAAAAACTCGTGAACCCTTCAAGGGGCTTGTCGCTGAGACCAATACTTAATACAAGTGATCAAGTCTTTCTAAAACTAGTAAAAGTCGTTGCGAAAAAATTATCCACGCTACATTTTTTTAACAATGTCTTTAGTAAGGTATATACATGCTCAGCGCTCGTTTCGCTTCTTAAAAGGAGTGACATTAGACGTTAGCGAACAGGGAATTAGCGAAACGACCGGTCACCACGTTGACTTAGCGGGTGTTTACATGACACTGGCGCGACTTTCGCCCCGGAGCGAGTTCACTCCGGTTCCCTCTCATGGCTGTACATTTGTTTACATGATACCACCACAAAATGTTATGCCGGCGCGAGTCACCCCGGCCTGAGTTCACCACAGTTGTTGTACCGGGGCGAGAATTTCACTCCGGTACGAAATCTCGCAACGGTATCATGTAAACGCGAAAAGACCACATGTGTCGGTGTGAAATCAGTCTGCGGGTGGACTGGAACGGGTAGCGCATGCGTAATGTTTGCAATTTTTAATCACACGTATATTTCATTGACATTAAGTGTACCCTCAAATAATGATATATGAAATGACCCAGTCATCATGTAAACGGGATACAAAATCAAAAAGACATCCCGGTATGAAACTCGCGCCGATGCGAGTTTTCTCATGGAAACACACCCTTAGCCAACTTTGGAATGAAAAGAACTTGCAGGACTGAAATCGTGGCATGAAAGGTTCTCTCTTAATCGCCACTTACGTGAGTTCCAGTTTAAGTAAGGTTCTCAATTTTTACCATAAATTTTCTTGGTCTTCTACGCTGTTTTTGCCAGTTGTATGTCAGCGTTTGTCTTAATCAATCACAATTTTGTCGTCAATACAACCAAATTAGAAAACGTGCCCCATACGTTTTCCGCAATAAAAAGGGATGCTTACTTGAAAAATAAAAAATGCTCTCTTTTCCAGGCACGCGCGCCCTTTTCCGAAGTGTTAATCGTCGGAACGCACGTCGACTTACTCCCGAAGAACAACCGACAAGCTCGCGCAGACGCACTCAAGCACAGCATTGTTAAGAAATACCTGGATAACCAAGGATTCCCGAAAATTGTCGGAAATATCATGGTGTCTCCGGTAACTGGTGAGAACATCCCCGAGTTGAAGGAGATGATATACAGCAAGGCGCTCAAGGTTAAGGACAACGGAGAAAACATAATTGGTCGAAGGGTGAGTTGGACGCGGAACCCCCCCCCCCCCCCCCCATTTTTTTTTTGGTTCCCTCTTGAAATATTTTTTTTTTGCTGAAAAAACAAACTCCTCTAATAGAATTTGAGATTTTTTTCTCTTTTTCTTTTAAACACCTTATAATATATTTTATTTTTTTTTTTTTTTTACAATAACAACGATAACTTTTTTAATCTTCGTCCGACCACTCTGTTCTGCGTAAGTCCTCAATTAATGACAAATTCTACTTTTTATATAAATATGAGGGGTGTCCCCGGGACAAGTAGAAAAATCCCCGGGATTGAGGAGAAGATAAACGAGCAGGCGGCAGAGTAGGAAGGAACAGGAGAAAACATTATTTGGCAAAGGGGGGGTTGGGAGCCGGCCCCCCCCCCCCCCCCCCAATTTTATTGCGGTTCCACTATGACAATATTTGTTCATTGGGAAGCAAACAGATCACGCATATGATATCCGCGTGTATGTCTCACTTCTTTTTGCAAACTCTAATTACTAAATTTTTTTCTTTTTTGTTTACGAGAATAATACTACGCATATTGTAATCTCGTACCCAGAGATCTGGGTACGAGATTACCCACATCGTGAAATCTCGACTCTTTTATACATGTATATTAAATCAAGAGCACATTGGGATATAGATAGATTCTATAGAGCAAACGCAATGGAAAAATGTAGTCTCGGAATAAAGGCCGGCATTATAGAGATGTAAGTAGGTTACTCTTTATCATACCAGATTTTGTACAAATAATGAAAATCAAAACGACTCTTGCTTGAGCTTTTGTTATTGTTACTTCATTCGTGAGGTTTAATTTTAATAGTTTTATATACTAGTCTACTCTCTGTGTTGTCACGCAACGCTTCTTTGGGAGAAGCGTTGCGTGACGTCTAAACAAAAAACGACTGTGTAGAGCGTGAGGATACAATGTCACGATGAACAAAGTCATTTTTTCACGATGGCGTGAGCTTTCGTTGTAGAAAAACTTGGAACAAGGGTGACGTTATCTCTGATTTGTCTTGTTGATCTGTCTTCATACAGGTACCGCAAAGCTACATTGATTTGCAGCAAGCTGTTATTCAGGAAGCCGAGCGAAGACGATCGACTGGTGAACCGCCCATTCTTCTAGAAGACGAAATCCTTCAACTCGCCAAATCCAGTCCCCAGAATGACATTCTGGACACTGAGGAGTTGACTTTAGGTAGGCTCAGTCAAGTTTCGGAAAAGGGAATATTTACAAAAACACATTTTGTGTTTGGGTGCTCATCTCGTTGAAGCCTTTGACTTGGTTCCTGAAAGGCCGATTCGCCGTTATACACAATTGCATTTACCTTCTTATTTATTGCTTAGATTGTCATTGACTTGTGTTGTCATAACTTGAGCTCAACAATAGCTTCGATTACATGCTTCTAGATAGAGCGATTTTCGTATGACCTTGAAATGAAAACACGCGAACAAAACAGAAACAACAAACGAATGGAAATAGAGCGATTTGATTGGTTTAACGAACGGATACAAACGCACGTGCCTTTTGGTTGGTTAAGCGAACGCTCGAGTGAAAAAACCTCATGCCCGAGAACTTTCTAGAAATTCACTGATACTTCGCTTTGACGTCATACTGCAACACGGTTGGCCAATCGAACAATGCCTCCTCCATATTAGGGTTTTCTTTGGCGGGAAAACGAAGAGGCCGTATTTTGATCTTTTTGTCCATTGGTTGATAAAACAAATAACGAAAACTTACCGAAACCATTGTTCAAGGTCATACGAAAATCACTCTCGCAACACTTTGCTTCAAAGTTTACCTAACCCTGCATAGCTAACAACTGTTAAGTTATGTTCACATTTGATGCCCGAGAACTAGCGCCCGAGTGGGTGACGGCACTGACAGAAAACACTAACTGACAGAAAACGCGAGCAAACAGGGACCCGCGCTAACTTTAGAGCCATGTTACAAGGTCTTGACCTCGTAGTCGGGCACCACATCGTGCTCGAATTCTGGCGTGGATACTTGATAAAAGGGTGTGTTCACATTAGTGCCCAGCGAGTACCGTATTCGGGCACCGTGCCAGGACACCAAATGTGAACATAACCCTTATCTCTGGAAGAAATGTGTCAGAATGTCTTTGCATGAATTTTTTTCTACCGTTTCTTTTCTCCAGCTACAAGGTTTTTGCACGAAAACGGAGTCCTTCTTCACTACAATGACCAGCTGCGCGGCTTGAACCATCTTTACTTCATCGATCCTTCTTGGGTGTGTGACCTGATCGCTACTCTTGTCACCATCCGAGAGAGAAATCCTTTCATTGTGGACGGCGTCATGAAGATGAAAGATCTGGAATTAGTGTTAAGAGATCCTAAGTTTCCCGAACAATTTATACCGCAGGTAATGTTTATCAGTCGACTTAAAGTGCGATCAATCTGTCATTGATCCCCCCCCATTCCCCCCTCCTATCTGCCCGTTCACCGGCGTGAGGGGACCAGGCGTACCACAAAATTATAAAATATAATAATAATCTAGGTTCTTGTTTCTTCGTTACTGAATCCAATGACTGTTAAAGGTCATAGATCTACACAAAGATGTTCGGCATGTTAATGAACTTTCTGCCTAAAACCTGCGGACTAAGCATGCGTCGATGGATAGCATTCTTACCAAAATGACCTTAAAAACTTTTTTCAATGTCCTGAAACATCAGATTTACAACTCTGCAAAACTTCCTTAAAAAGGTTAATACATAGTTTATTGATTAGCAGAAGCGTTTATAAACAGAGCGCAGCAGAGAAGACTTCGTAAAATCCGAACTGCGAACTTTCTCGAAAACATCTCTTGAAGATCCATTCCCCGTGGTCCTCCGGGATTCAATGCTTGTTTGAATAATTGTTGGGCCCTTCATGTTTTCGCGAGGAGAATTGGGGCTAAAATTCAAGCCGTGTTTTACACTCCTTAAGCACATTAATAGACCTTTCGACGGTTTTTCAACTTTTGACATGGACAAGTTAGGGAAAATCCGTCAACTCCACCGGAAAGAGCGCCTTTGCCAAGTTTGAGCGTGATTTGCTGAAAACTAACAAAGATATAGCTCTAATCTCGTACCCAGATCTCTTGTTGACGAAGCTGAAGGAGAGATCTGGTACCGTGATTGCCTGTCAGGAATGTAACAGGCGATGAAAGAGCGCATGCTAGAAAATATATAGATTGAGCCAGGGTTAAAGCGTAGCTCTAGTCATTAATTTATAATTTAAATCAAACAATAAACTTGTAATCCACAAATCGGTGAACTGGGGAGATCCATATGACGTTTAAGGGTGGGGCTGGGTGACTTAAAAGAAAAAATAATTTGCAAAAAGTGCAAAAATGAAGCAACATCTAAAATCTTACATCGGGTTAATAGTCTCATTTGTACACCTAATAAATAGAGATCACCTTTGGCCACAGTAGATTAGGCGTTGAAAACAAATCCCCCTCGGCTTCGTCAATATTATAAGAGATCTGGATACGAGATTTATACAGTTCCTCAAAGTCGCGAAATTTTACACCGACGTTTGTGTGCCCCTCGCCATACAAACGTCTGTAAATTTTCGCGTTTTTCCGGAGCTATATCTTCGCTTGCTTAGGAGGTATCACTTTCAAATTTGGCAATTGTACTAATTTTACGGTGCGAGCAATTCCCATACTAGGCCTATGTCAGGGGCGTGTTCACGGACCAGAGACAATTTAGGACATTTTTCCCCGCGAAAATAGAATCTCCACCATGTCTATGAGCGCAAAAAGGAAAACTAAACGTTGTTAAAAGGCAAAACATATATTTTTTCAGGTCTGTAGGTTTTGCTGACTGGTTTGTGGAATTTAAAAGATATTTAAGATTCGCGCCAAAACAGTTCTAAAAATAAACTGGTCGGTGAAAAGGCCTTGATACTAGCGCATGGAAGTTGCTCGCTCCTAGTTATGGGCTCCTGTTTTAAGGCGCCCTTTCTATTGGCGACGGATGTTCCCTAACTTGTCCTTGTCCAAAGTTGAAGAAACCGTGCCAGGTTCTATTCCCTTAATGCTGTACGAACTATTAATTGTGATTGTAAATTATCTTGCAGTACCTTCAACTTATGGAACGTTTTGAGATCGCTCTGTCCTTGGACGATGAACAGCTTTTAATTCCTTCTATGCTGCCAAAGGAAAAACCTGGAATGCAACTTCACCAACTTCAGAAGCTCATTAGAAGAAGGGCCAACGCAAAGGTATGCAAGTTCACAGCAATATGAATTTTCTTGCATCTTTGCACAGTTAGGACGCGTTGGCACAGTAGTCAAGTCCTTTCACTTCAGTTCTAGGGTTCCCTTCTTTTCGTGACTGTGTCATGACATTTTTATCCCTTACAATAAAAGAAACTGCCTCAAGTTATCCAAATTCTTAGATCTTAATCCGTCACCGAGATTAATACGCATATCAGATATTGTTTAAGGGTAGTATTTTGATTTATAGAGTGGCGTCTTGTTTTTGTCTTTGATACTGAAGTTTATTGAAGTCCATAGAAGTCACAACTTCAGTTCAATTCAAACATACATGTACATACAAACATTTTCTGCTCGCACATACCTTGGCTTATCGAGGCAGAGGAAAACATGAAGTATTTTGCTAGGAAGAAGTTAACAAAATGAAAGGAAAAGGGAGATAGATCTATGTAAATGACACAAGAAGATGAACTCAAGTTATTATAACAGCAAGATGAACTGGCAGTAACTTTAGCTGCTGTTACGGGTACCCTGTTTTCCGTTGTTAGTAAATGTATGGGGCGCGGGTGAGGACAAGGCTTTGCCAGCGGGAGAAAAAGATTAAGGGTACTGAATGAAAAACGGATTATTATAAAATTAAAGAAAAGGTATGTAGCTCAACAAAGAGTATATATGAAATGTATAAAAAATGAAATGGAAAGAAGGAACTATTTTAGTTGTGGGCAACGAGAGGAGCCTGCAATCCTAATCTCCAGGTTGTTATGACGCATACGTCACATGAATGTTTGGACTTCCACTAAGAATGAATGGAACGCACAGAACGCAATTTGATCATGCGCGTTTGGACTTTCTATCACTCGTAACCTGATCACGCGTGTTAACTATCTGTCACGTGAAACTTACGCTAAGCACAACGATGGAGCAAAAGCGTTTTAACCTTCGATCGTCGTCGCCCGCACTCCGTAACGTTTGGTTATGACTAGTCTTAAAAATACTACGAATGTTCATATGGAAGAGGGAAAGATCAGTCTCAATACTACAAATAAATTTCGGCGACTTTGTTGTTGTTGTTGTTCGGCTAAAAGGTTGTTCAAGCTATCTTCCGTATAGTGGGATATCCCTTGGATAGATTATCAACCTTTCCCGTAGGGGTGGGGGTGGGGGGAGAGAGTTGGGGTAGTAAAATTCCAAGGTGCTCTGTGTCATAAGACGCCGGGATAATCTCCGGCCAAATGAAAAACAGTCTTGCGCGGCTCATGATGCGTTTTTTTCGTCTTTGTACAGAGTGAGGCAAAGAATGATCGCGACTGTTCAAGCACCCATCCAACCGACGGCAAAGAAATCACCACCGTGCGCAGGAACTACCAAATGGCCTACACCCCGAGCGGCTTCTGGAGCCGGCTGATCACCAGGCTGATAGTTTCAGTGCAAAGATGGCGGACAATTGAGCAAATAAAGGAAGAGAGCTATTCTTTGGTTTACTGGCGAGAAGGAATTGGAGTTGTGTACGAAGGAGGTTATTTCCAAGTGGAGTCATATCAGGAGTTGGTAGGTTGCGTGATGATTTTGTGTTTCTCGTGTTGTGTGACCCTGTTTGGTGGGTATAAGCTCTTAGGGCAACGATTTCTGGGGTCGACTTTGGAAGTCAGTCCTATTCTAGAGCCAAACGATTGTAAACTGAAGGATACAAAACTGAAACAATTTTATCAGAAGTCAAAGCTTGTTCTTTATCTAATGATGATCAAACAAAGGTGATTATGAAATCTTTACTTTGGATAACTATCTTTTTTAGATAACATTAGTTACTTCTGCCTCGTACCGAAGCGCTTCTTGGGAGTATTTCGGCGTCAAAGCAAGAAGGATCATGGGACAGGCGCAGCCGAAAAACCCAAGAAGAACCTGAGCACTCTGTCCTCCGCAGAAGCCTTTTTGTGTCGCAAGGAGGCTGGGGAGAGGGAAAAAAGAAAGCGCGCGGGGAACAACCGGATCGTCCCCAGCGCGCTTATTGTTATTAGTGAGTTTGCGCAACAGGTCGTCTCGAAGAAGAGGACGGCAAGATGCTTGTGTGTGATAAACTTGACAGGGCTATTACCTGCGTGTTTCGTCGTGATATTCACTGAACATTAATGTTTTCTGGTCTTTATCAAAAAGATCTGTCTAAAGATAAGTGGAGTTTGGCAAAAATTTATTTCAAACAAACTTATTGTCACGCTTGTCACACAAGGTTCGCCGTCTTCTTTCTTCTCCCGTCCTGTTGCGTTAAGTTCGCAAAAAAAAAAAAAACGGGAATACTTAATTGTCTGTTCGTTTATTTGCTTTTACTTTTTAGATCCCCATCAATCAGGGAAATAAGGTGGCATTTCAGGAAATCAGCGGTATAGCCATCACTGTTTGGTCGGAGCAAAATGACTTTGCTGCAATTGGATTCATTGTCGACCAAATTGATGCTCTGATAACCGAATGGTATCCAGGTGAATATGAAAGTCGAAATTCTCCTTTCTTGTCCGTATACAGTTCTCTTGTAAGTAAGCGGGAAAAGACCCTAACCTTCCTCACCTAAGCGTGTCCAAGTTCAAATTTTGACGAAAGAGAAGTCCCAAACTTCATTTTTCCAAATACTGAAACAGTTATAGTGCCATGCGAAAATACTGGCAAAAATGTTTCAACTGAGTGTACTCATCACTACGTTGTCGTAATAAACACGACCACATTAACGCACTGCTCTCTAGCTTTCGTTTGCATGTCCACAGTGTACGATTTGATCAAGGATAAAACGTTAGAAGCATTCACAATGTACTGCATAATTGGCTACCTTAAGTATGAGATCGAGTCGGTGTTGTACCTTGCAAATTTGAGGAGGTGATCCCACCTCTTAGTAGGTCAAAGTTTGCTTTGGATTCGATGTCATAGAAATGTTTGAGGTTTTTTAGAAAAAAGGCTTCTGTCTTGATATGTTCCAATTCTCGCGAGGAAAATTATTTCAAAGCCATTAACACAAACAATTGCTCGATGGTTTTTAACGATTTAAGGTACGGTCTTGCTATACAAAACGGCTTTTTTATTCCTTTTGTTAACTTAGGTCTAGACGAGACAGACATGTACGGATTGCCGTTGGTTCGGCGCTTAATCCCATGTCCACTCTGCAACGAGTTGATGATGTCACATCGCCCGTCAATGAAGCGTTCCGTTTCCATGGAGTTTCCTGCCTCTTTTCACCCCTTGCATCCTCCGCGGCCACACAATTTCACGCTTCCGACATGCGCAGCAACGGCTCTTACTTTCTCCACAATAAACTGTCCCTACCACCCTGACAGAGTGGTGTCGCTTCAATACCTTATTCCTGATTTGATGATGGCAGATCTACCGCGCCATTTCCTGGTTGATCACAGCCAGTTCAAGTTTGAAGCGCTCGAATCACAGAGGATCGGAAGTGGGGGCTCGGGAGAGGTTTATCGTGGCTTCTACCGGAACGAAGCTGTGGCCGTTAAAACGTTCCACTCTACGAAGCTTACAGGGTAATTAAGTAATAGATACTAAATCACATGAAAAGCCTTACTGACCAGCGGACGTTATGGTTAAAAGGTAAATTGTTTGGGTGGGGTGGGGTGGGGTAGAGAGGGGACGAGTAGGCGGGGGAAGGAATTTGTCTTTTGGTTGATTAACTACCAATACCGCCAATACCGAATTAATTTTTGGTTAATCACAACTATGAGAAGCAATCACTAGTATGATAGGCAATTAGTAGCTCTGATTTTAGACAAAATTGGACTGCACTCGTTTCTGTTGCAGTTACAATGAAGGCTAAGACAGAAACAGTCAATGAGGTGTCGTTAAAATTGAAAAACAAAAACAAAAAAAACTCTGAAGTTTACAAAGCAGTAATCCTAAAGGAAAGCGACTTTGTAAGGGTACTAACCCAATTACTGGTAACCGAATAGCTTACATTGAAGACCACAAATAGAGGAAGAAACAAATGATCGAAAGAAACATAACAAGAAAAAAAACCCAACTGGCTAGAGGCAAACCAGTTAGTTGGCTATTTACAAGCATGGTCGAGAAGACCCGGGACTACCGACTATAAATCCAGCCAGTGGTTAGGGCGGGGCTTTGGCTTGCAAGTTAATCGCTGCAATCGCCCTGGACCAGTCAAATATGTTATTTGGAATTTCAGTTCTTCTCTCTTTCATTGCTCCGAATCGAAAACTTGGTACCTCACTACTATACAGGAGTTAAAACAAAGGCATTCAAACTCGTTATGTCAGTCGGAAACGTTTCATCAAGCGAAATATCGCACTTCTGGTTGCTATTTAAGACGTCTGGGGAGTCAAAACTCGCTAATCTTATTTATGAACCGTTTACAGCCTTTCATTCACCAGCTTTGGCTAACTTCAGCGAGTAACCAAAAACAGAAGCTATAGATATTCGGTATTTACCGCGAGCGTTCGCCAAGTATACAAATACAAATTTTTCATACCGGTTTCCCTAAATTCCCTTAAAGACTTAGTTAAGAGAATTTGAAAAGATCAAAGCATTTTTCCCGTTGTTGATCATTTTAGTAATTCTCATAACCTTCTCTCTTAATAAAATAGCGACACTGATTGGAGAAAATTAATATTGGTCACTCTTTGGACCTGAGGAGAACCTGTGGATATTCTTTCTCGTTTTCTTTGGTGCCTAGGTCGCCTCATGATAGTGGTCTTGGAGACACTAGGTCCAGAACTGTAGGAGGCGCTGGCTATCGCAGACCTCACCGAAGCGAGAGTTCGAGCTTGCGCAGATCAGATTTCCGTGCGACTTCGTTTGAAGATGATATGGAGGAGGAACTGGAGAAGACCAAGGTTGTTAAAGCATTCTGGGATTTACGACAAGAGGTAAAATCAATCTAGTTTTAGTATTTCTCAGTTGGCAGTTGGCAGAGCAAATTTGCTGTAGGTTTGGGTTTATACGGTTATCCGAGTGCTTCATCCTCCAACGGTTGAAAAGGAGATCAAAGCAAGCGTTATTTTGCACATTTTGAAATCCACGGGATTCTGCTTATGTTTAGCATGAAAGCGGAAAGTACTACACAATAACCAGCTAATACGCGCAGACACATGTTACGCATGTAGAAAAATGCCCAAGCGTATGGCGTACCCAAAAAAACCCGCGATGTAGTGATTTGACTATCGCTCCTTGCCAGAGTAAAGAGGGAAAATCTTCCCAATTTCGCAAAGTCGATTTGAAATGCTTTAATTCCATTTTCAAACTCGTATTCAGTTGGTAGCTATTATCTATTCATTTTTAATCGTAGCAATTTTAGTAATCTTAGTTCTTATAATTGATAGTGACATGCATTTGTTTATTATTGTAGTTGTGAATTGATGATGCATCTAGTCGTTGTGTTTTCTTTTTTAAAAAATTCTCTATATTTTTCAAGCAAATGTTATGTTGGTATAAACGCATCTTGAATGGGCTTGTCAGCTCATTAGACGAAAGGTAGATAGGTAAATGATTTCTTGTATGATTGATTCATTGAACAGAATATTTTATTGACGTTTCGTTTGTGAGGACTCCTTGTGATCGTGCATTTTATCATTATGTAATCATAAACTTTTCTTGCAACCATTGGCATTATATTGCATGTGGGTGAGGTCAACAGAAGCCTTACTGGTGTTCTCTTGTCTTCCTCGCCATCCCGTTTTCGTTACTTTGTATACCATTGTTCTTTCGTTTGTTTTGTTGTAGTTGATGTTTTTTCTCCCCGTATTTAAGGGCTTTTCATTCAAGGAGCGTCTAGGCTAAAATCATGGGTAGTTACTATGGCAACTCATATGTACTGTTGCAACTAGCCGCACTTGCAACCACTCGGCCCAGAAAACAGAGCTTAAGGTTGCCATGGTAACTAATGGCACTTCAACTGTAACTTGGCACTCGTACTTTACAGTTCATTCATTGGTCTGCTGTGTTTACCCCCCGATTTCAAGACTATGAGAAAATCGCTCCAGTATATCAATGTTTTTGTTTTGACTCTTTGAATTGAATATTTGGCTAGGTTGCTGTCCTTTGCCGTTTAAGCCACCCATGTGTTGTCCGACTTCTCGGTATTTCCTTGCACCCATTGTGTTTTGTGTTGGAGCTCGCACCCTATGGCAGCCTAGCTGCTGTACTTGAAGAGCTTTCTACGAAGCGCGAGGAGAGAGAGCAGAGCCAGGAGACCTGTGTTGCTAAGTCTCGCGAGCCTATACTCGGGCGCGAGCTGTCTTACAAAATCGCTTTCCAGGTAAATTTATAAGCTATTCCCGTTAAGACTTACAGTAAAACCCCGCGTATAAGAACCTGGATTTTTTAATTTAGCCTTAACAGGTTCTTATATTAATGGTACTTAAAGCAAATTTAGACTACGAAGGTTCTTAAAATAGGTTCTTATATTTTCATATGAATTTTATTTAAGTATATTACAAATATCATCTCATAATACAATATAAATCATTTTCTACCATAATGCCTAAAGGCAGTGCAGTGCAGGTATGTCCTTAACAAAACATAACAAACAAACTCATAGTCAGTTCTCTGAAATGCCATTTCAAAGTTGATACACTTTTGCAGCAACTTCACTAATACGAACCTAACTAAAATTTTAGCCTTAACAGGTTCTTATGTGGAGGGGGCTTAAAATGAAAATTTTAGCCTAAAAGGTTCTTAAAACCCAGGTTCTTATAGGCGGGGTTTTACTGTAATTCATTCCGTGTCTTGTATTCTCCTGACTTGTTTTCTTTCCTGTCGCCCCATGTAAAAGGGAATCCAAGACAGTCTTGAACTGTGGATTCCACGTCGTGGATTCCGGATCCTAATAACGGGATTCCGGATTCTATTTTGACTTGTATTCCGGATTCCAAAGCCCAAGATTCACGATTCTACAAACAAAACTTTCCGGATTCGGGTGTCCGGATTCCCTTACGTTGTGTGATTCCAGGGACCCGATTCCCGAAAGTCTTAATAACTTTTCGTGACTGAAATCAAATATTCAAACCTAAAGAATAAAAGCGCGAATCCTGGATAACAAACCAGTCCGTTTTGTATTGTTAACTGATAGTTTTATCAATCATTTGCAAAACTATTGAACCCCGATCTTGAACATAAACAGCAACAGCTTTTCGGGCCCTTTAAGTATTGGGACTTTTGAGAAACAAGCTTCTGAACCGGATTCGTGAAAAAATCCTTACCAAAGATATGTCTTCAATATTGTGGTCATAATAAGTCAAAGAATACTTAGGTGGATATCTCGACCGCTGTTGTGTTAAGTAATAATTGGAAGGGAACGAAGAGGTAAGTTTTTAAAGAAACTGTGGTGCATGTTTTTTCATCTGCTGTTGAAGAAGGGCTAGCCCTTGTGTGAAAGATGCTACTAGTTTCCCTTGTGAGCTCTTATTTCCATTTTTTTTTTCTGCCAGGTCGCCAGCGCCATTTGGTATCTTCACGATTGTGACATCATTTACCGAGATCTTAAAGCCGACAATGTGTTAGTATGGTCTTTGGACGAGACCAGTCTGCTTAACGTCAAGCTCTCCGACTACGGGATATCGTGTTTCGCTACGCCCCAAGGAGTTGCAGGAGAGGAAGGAACGCCGGGGTATCAAGCACCCGAAATTCGGACCGGGGTAGGATATGACGAAAAGGTAATTGGCTCGAAGTAGCACATTTTTATTGGAGTCTTATTGTAGCTAAGCTCCCTCGAGGTTTTACCTCCTCTGGAGTCATTTCTGGGCGACGGGAGAGGCGAAGAGAGGGGAGGAACGTGTGCTGAAACCCAAAGTATGTCTGCATAGGAGGCCACCTGCCTCCCAATACGTGAAAGTTGGGCGCTATCCATTACAGAGTGGCGGCTAAATCCTTGTGTGTCGTTGTTACGGGCAGGCGTCGTTCCTTGACCATTACGAGCGTGCTTTTCCGACCATCCTCCATGTTCACCGTATTAAACTAGTTTGTCATCATAAGGAAATTTTGCAGGGCGTTTTCTCTAATGTCCAACCAAAACCACACATATGTACGGTACAAAATTAAAGAACTAGTCCTCACAAGGGCATTTGGGGGCTCCTGCCCATTAAGAACAGGTGACGAGAAATAAGGGGAGGGAAAGAGGGAAAAGGTCGTCTTTCGGGCTTGCGATAGATTATCGACGATCATATACTCTGACTAGGACAGGCGGGCTTAGTGTTTTTTACTGGGCTGCCTATGGCATTCCCAGTCATAAATCCTGTTTCGGTGTTAATTATTAACCCAATAAGCCAGAGGGCGTTGCGTGTTTCCATAAAGCATTTTTCCCATCTTTGCAGCTTCTGTTTGGTTTCAGTAGTTGACGCCAATACTCAAACAATTTTTTGGAAGTAGCACCAAACTAGCCAGAAAGATAACAACAACAGTAACTGTTTTATCCAGTCATAAATACGCACAGTGAAGTAGATACAATCTGCCAGCTTCGATATTAAAACCCGTAAGTAGCATATCATCCAAACACATGGCGTTTGTTTTTGTTCTAGGTGGACATTTTCTCCTTTGCAGTCTTCGTTTATGAGCTTCTCAGTGGCTGCCGGCCTTTCCGTGAATATCGCAATGTAGTAGATATAAAGAAGGCGATAAGACGTGGAGTAAGACCATCAATGGAAAAAAGTACCTTAGATACACAGTTACCACGACTGGAAGGCATCATGAGGTAAGATTTGATTTACTTAAATACACTTCAAGTACGAAAACAGTAAATTCTAGTGTCTAGTCTAATATAGCTTTCGACTATATCGCACAGTCTTCGTCAACAAAAAAAACCCTCATTGTTGTCACGTGAATTAGTCACGCCGCCCCTATCTCTATTTATATAGGGTTCGTACGCTGGCGTCTGATATGGGTGGCTTTGAGACTAACATAATTATTTTTTTCTTTTTTCAAGTTTAATTACCAAGGTCGAGTATGAGCATTTATGGAATTAATAATTATTATAAGTACTTTTTACGAGCACTACAATAGCCTGTTCGGCCTGACGTTTAGATAGTAGCGCTCTCCGGGGCGCTCTGGCGGTGAGGCGGGAAAAGGAGCGCCCCGGAGAGCTTGCTCGCAGGCTATTTAGATAGTAAAGAGAGGCGGGAAATAGAGAGCGGAGCGAAAATTCTAAGAGTAACAAAGAAAATTCTAAGAATAACAAAGAAAGTGGGGAAGAGAGGAGGAAACGCTTTGAGATTTCTACGGCATTCCTTCGAGTTCCACACAGTCAGCCCTGTAATTCGACTTCAGGTCATTACTGATTGTTGTCTCTCTATTGTCAATCAACGGCTTTCTTTTTCTCAATCCCTCCATTTCTCCTTTGTCGGTTCTTTTCCTCCTTTCTCATTTTGGCGCCGTCCCCATGATGTGAACTCTTAGAACAGGCTAGCCGTGAAGCGGTCTTAACTACCCACTCACATCCAGGACCTCCCCCCTTCCCCGCACCCTACCTAAAAAACAAAGAACGAAGTCAAGAAAGATTGTTAGCAATAAATTCATTTGTGAAGTGATAAAAACAGATACGTTCAAGGCTACATTTGAATGACCACACAAAAACACACCGCAGACGAAAGCAAATTGATCCCTCGATGGAATTAAACCCCACAATATCCAGGGCCAGGCGCCTTTGCTACTGGACTACGGCGTTTCACGCTGTATGGTAATGGCCATTCACTGTTTCAAAAATCACACGATTTTCTTTTAAATATCGTGTCACCTATGAACCAGTTTGGAAGCTACATTCTTCTAGGATTAGCAATGTTCAAAGTCTCTGTTATGATCGTAGTGTTCGAATTATCCCGCCCGATGATGACTTTTGTAGTCTTAGGCTACCTACACACTACACCGGACAGCTTTTTGTACGGACACGAAGTATAGGCAGCAACGGCAAAGAACTCAATGGAACAAATTAAATCGTTCGCACACATCGAACAATCATCGAACATCGTGTCGGAGCAGTTGGCCGAGAGGGTTTGGTAAACTAGATCCCAGTCCTCACTCCTGGATATTTACTTCCGTCTCAGTGGATTTCAGTCCTCGCTCCTACTTATTCACTTCCGCTACAGTCCGAATATCTGTTCACACTGCACTAAAGGTTGACACAGAACAGAACCTATTCAATATGTGACGCTCCACAGTCGAAATCAGCGCAGCGCAGCTTCGCTCAGTTACAGAGATCACGCCGAAATCACCGTTCTTGTGTGAGAACAGAAGCCCTATCCGGTATTGTTTTTTTGCCGGCGCAAAAGCCATCCGCCATAGTGTGAACATAGCTTTACTTTTGTTAAATAACAAACGTTGCATATTAACCATGTCGTTGCGGAATTTAGAACTGGTTTTCAATTTACAGATCTTGCTGGCATCAGTTACCAGAGAAGCGACCGCCAGCCAGCGAAATATTGCGGCAGATGGAAGAGCCAGCATTCCTTTGTCAGTGTCGTCTTGTTCCAGAAACCAACGAAGAACGACTGGAAAAAGTTACAGCCATTCATGGGCTGTCACAATCTGGACCAGGTAATAAGCCTAAACCTCCTTCACTTCTTTTGCTTCTGTAAGGGCCACCAATCATTTTTTTTTTTTACTGAAAAAAAATCCCAAATTTTTTTTGTGAAATATACATTAAAAAACAGCACTATACAAAAGTACTGCTGAAAAGGTTTAACTTGAATAGTCACTCCATAGGATTTCATCCTCAGACTCGAAAGTTAGAACTTTATACTAAATAAACAGTACCTTGTGAAAGTACTACTGAAGAGGTTCCATTTGAATGATCACACCATAGGATTTCATCCACAGACTTTAGAGTTGGAAATACTACTAAATAAGTTACACACTACATACTTAACAAGAAAGTAATAAGTACTCGTTAAATAGTCGTGAAAACCAGTCTTGTTGGCCCAGCGATAAGTTAATGCTAGGACCACCGTGATGATAATGCTAGGACCACCGTGATGATAACAAATCACTGTGAAATTGATAAAAAAATGTGTGGAAAATCGATATGCGTAGACATCATTTTAAAAAACAGAGATACCACACGGGGGGGGGGGGGGGGGGGAAAAAAAGGTTTTTATTAGGCCCCCCCCCCCCCCCCCTCCAAAAGAATAGATTTTTCTTTTCTTTTTTCCCAAAGAAAATATATATATATACAAATTTATTGTATTATTGTTTTTTTTTTAAACATAATGCGAGTAGAGAAGATAAGAAGTGACAGTGAAGTGGCACACGTGGGACAGGGTGGGGAGGGTGGGGTGGGGGGGTAGAAAAAGTGTTTCTTAGGGTCCCCTATTACCCCCCTTTAAAAGTTGAACTTTTCCCTTTCTCTTTTCCCTAATTAATATTAATTTTTTTTAAATTTTTTAAAAATAACTTAATTTTTTTTTTTTTTTATTTTTTTTTTTTTTTTTTTTTTTGTTTATGTTTGTGTAAGTGTTGATAAAGATTGAAATAAAAAATTTAAAAAAAAATCTTTTCCCTTAAGTCTCACTATATGCAAGTGAACAACAGAGAGTGGTCAAATCCAGACTAATTAGAACGTAACAGTTTTGGAACTTAAAAACCTGTTCGCTTGCCTGATCTCACTGCTATCGTCGCTTTTAGTCCATGTCCTGTCTTACGCCTGCTATTTCTAATGGGTTTCTTTTTTTTAGGAAATCCCATGATTTCTTCGAGTACTGATGGCAACTCCGAAAATCCCTCTAGTTATGTGCTGTTATGGAGCCGTGAGCGTGATAAGCGCCATTACAGTATGGTGAACATTGAAACAGGAACATTCTTTTCAGAAGAGCAAAACTGCCCTGGCCATAGGGTCCTTTGTATGACAAAAGTTGAAAATCGAACCTGGCTTGGAACAGAGGTGAGGATAACATGTTGCTCCTTTTTACGGGCGAGCGAAGGAAAGCGCGAAGGGTGCTAGGAGCGCAAGACACGCGCCTCTCCTTCCCTCGTCGCGCGTATCTCGTGCTCTACGCCCTTACGTGGTCCATTCGCATGTCAAACGCGAGAATGTTTACTTCGTGTAATCTAGAGACGAGACTGCTTAATTGGAGATCGTAGCTAAGCTTTCCGGTCTTACAACAGACTGAGTGTAATGACGTTTACAGTAGCCTCACAGGCAAATCAAGCAGAGGGTCGAGCACTCCTCCACCCATTTTTGTCTCAAATTTTGTTTTATTTCTGACGTCTATTTCTGAGTCTTCCAGAGCTTTGATTTTTAGTGTGAAATTTCTGGAGTCAAATGCTCTAAGAGTTCTTTAATCAATAAATAGTATGTATATGGCCAGAAGCCTCGGCTGCCCCCTTTCTGGATCCACATTTGTCGAGGGCAGATATATCGCAAGAGACTCAGACATTATACTTTATATTTTTATATTGTTAGGTGTAGGTTTTCTGTTCATGGCCCCTCTAATGTTTCAACGTTAGATCATTTATCTTAGTAGAGTGTGTGTCAACTCTACTGGATTAGCCTACGTGGCAGCCGTCAAAAGGGGAAGGGAAGGGGGAATTAGCGCGCCCGAAATTCTCCCTCCCCCTTCCCTTTTAACGCTTGCCACGTAGGCTGGAATTGGACATTTGGTACTTACTAGAGAGCTTTAGATTCTGAGACGAGGACGACTACGAGTACGAGATTTTCCCAATACTAAGTAGTGCTCTTGCATGAGCCAACGCCATTTTGGCGGCAAAACGTGATAGCCGTCGTCATTCTACTACGAGTTTTAGCGAGAATATGGTAGTGGTGGGAACAGGTTATCAAATTTTAGAAGCTTAATCATTTTGCGACCGGGAAGGGCTAAACCTTGTCCAAAAAAAGTAACCGCACTAACTTTTCAGGCGAAAAATAGTACAATGAAGCGCTCCGGGTTGCATATTTTTCGAGTATACGCGAAAAAACTTTTAAGGTAAGTCTCGTACTCGTAGTTGTTTTCGTCCTCATATCTAAAGCTCTGTACTAACTCAATCACTAGGAAGAATTCTTTCCTTTACAGCTTGCCTTACTTCTCTGATCTTCCAACAATAAAGCAACGGGTATTTAGGCCCCGTTTCTTCATTTTTGGGAGACCAGAGACGACGAGGTTAGATACACTAAGGTAAACGTAAATTGCCTGGCAAGGTAAGTAGATAAAGGCACCCCTTTATCGACCTAACGAAACTACGGAACCGCTATAAAATATCACAAACAACCAATGTTATTTACGCCCATAGTGCACTGTACACATCCTTTCTGTATCGACCTATGGTCAGTGGCCAAGTGGAATAGCATAGGAGAGTTTTCTTAAAACGTAAAAACGTTATTTTAGTGAAGTAAAGTGAATGAAGTTAATTCGAACATGGGCGGATTTAGCAGGCGGCACCACCTTTTCTTTTGAATATTAGAATTATTATAATGTCTGTCTTCCAGAGACTTTAAAATTTCTTGACACAAATGCGCTCAGAGTTCTTTGCACACCGGAAGCCTCGATCCCCTCTTCATAAATCTTCTAGATCCGCCCCTGAGGTAGTCTGAAATGTCAGCGTCTCTTCGAGGACGGGGTGGGGAGAAGACACGGAGGACATTTCAGACTACCCCTGAGGAAACCTTTCACATAGAGAACTCCCAAGACAGAATTATAAGAAAGATAAAGAATGCTTTTGAGCACATGTTAATAGTGTATATCGATTTAGCCTGCGAAAACAGTCGTTTCTCCTCGCTCCTCGCCGCCAGGGACATGTAGCGCGGACGAACGTCTGCGACTCTTTGACAAAAATTCCATACTGATGACGTAAAATCTGTCCGGAATCCGGCTAAAAGCCCTGATTGGTCAAAAACAGTCATTATTTGTGGAATATATTCTTCTCTAAAAGAAGCATTTGAGTTTTGCTAGAGCTCGTTCGCAGAAACGTAAAATTGAACAAATTTGCATTCGAAACCCCATGACTATTTATTATGTAAACATTGATTTATTTCCGGCTGTTTTAGCAGGCTAATATCGGTTAAATATAGGAAGAGCGAACCCTTTGTCATATCACTTCAGTTTCATTTCAAGTTTATGTTGACAAATGAGGTCACAAATGATTTAACACTGACACTCGGAGATGCCTTATTTCTTTGCTTATCTCGATGGCAGTTTAATGCTAAGTAAACACGTAAGTTTTTCACCTTTTATCCACAACTTTGATAACTTCCTCTTCTCTGGAAGCCTCTTTCGAGCTAAACTGGGCTTTATGACAAACACAAATGCTCAGAGACTGGGAAGAGGGGGGTGGCGGTTGACAAGAAGGCACGTAGTAAATACTGGGTAGAGGACTTTCTCCCTTCCCCCGTTATTCCCTACTCACACACTCCCATTTTCCGTCTCCGGGAGGGACTGGAACTAGCAGGATTAAAAAATGTCTATTAGTACTTTGGTTTCAAGAACATAATTATAACTGAACAGTATCATTATCATTTACGTCAGGAGCCGATCGGCTCCTGTTTACGTGCGTTTATTGCTTTCTATTTCATCTGGTATTTCCCAGTAAATTTAACGTATCTCCTAGATTCCATGTATCAATAACAAAAACCATAATTGTAATGTATTGCCGTGCTATAATTCTTTCGATCAAGATTAATCTAGACTACCCTGGGTACCAGAGGTTATTTCTTGCTTGCGGTGAGTTACTTCGGGGGCCGACACATCTTCGACCAAAGGCCGAAGCCACGAACGACGAAGTATCGCGGGCCACTATAAAGACGTAACCGAAACCGAAAACTGCGCATGAAAAGTCTTTGGCACCCAGGGTAAATCTAACCCCAGAGATTCTTGATGTAAGCCCTATGGCTGAAAGATCATATGACAGCGTAGTTATTGTTTGTCTCCATAGGGGTGCACAGTAGAGGTGTTCGGACGACGGTCCTGGCGTTTGGCCTCAACACTATGGTCCTACACTACTAAGGCCCCTGTCTTAGAGCTACTGACTGAATGTGCCCCTTCTGAGTCCGCTTCTTTTGACATGTTTCAACCACAGGTAAATAAGGGTATTTTTGTATAAAGCGGGCTAGTTGTATGAATCATGAGGCAATCCGAGCTTGGTTCGTTATGACCATGTTGTCATTTCTTCATACTCGCATAACGACTTGATTACATGCTTACCCTAAACTGCCGCTTGTAAGCCCTGAGCAGGGTTCGTACAAAGTCTTGAATTCTTGAAAAAGTCTTGAAATTTGCTCAGCAATTTGCCAGACCTGGAAAAACTCTGGAAAATAGAGATAAAATATTGAAAAATGGTAAAAAGTCTTGAGTGTTTTTTAAAGCTACAAGTGCTTTATAGTTGACAATTTTTTTGTTTTGGTCAAATCTTACTCTATCTTGCCCGTATGTTTGCAGCGTATCATGAAAAAAGCTTTGTTCCTGCGTTTTTTAAGGTTTCTATTTATCACCTATTTGATAACCTTCAGTCTGGAAAAATGAAATTATTGTTTGGACAAAGCCTGGAAAAAAGGCTTGAATTTTGGATTCAAACAGGAATCTGGGCGTAGGACTGTGAGGGAGGAGAGGGCTAATAAATAGCCTGCGAAAGCAGCCGTTTCTTCTCGCTATTCGCCGCCGGGGACTTTTCGCGAAACGTCCCCAACGGCAAGGAGCTAGGACAAACGGATGTTTTCGCAGGCTTGCTATTAAGAGGTGGGGCTTTTAAGTGACGGTTCACAGTATGCCGCAAGTGTGAGCCACAACACGTCAGTTTTTGAAACTAGCTCTGCTAACTCTCGCGAGAGCTCACCTTTTGGCAGATAAGCTTTGTTTATCGTTCATCTCACGGCAGTGACTCTTACATTGATCGCTGTGTGTCAATCGGTTGTTGCTGCTCTGGTCTCTAGTACTTGCAGTAAATAATTGGTGCTTTTCGATTCAAATTAATGGTTGGTGAACATTGATCCTCATGTTGTTATCTTAAGTGTTAGTCTGTGAAAGGTTTGAAACCAGGAGTCATTTCATAAGTAGGTTGAGTTTGATCATCCGGGTGAACGTAGTCCTGAATAGGACTCCTGTTGACAGTGACTGACGTTTCGACAACCTGTGCGGTAGTCATCTTCAGAGTCAAAGTGAGTTGTATCGCGTCAGTTGATGGTTTTTTACTCTGGTTATTGACCCTATTGGTCAATTAAGTCGCGATATTATTGGTCGTCTGTCAGTTAGGCCGTGATGGTATTGGCTATGAAGACTTGCAATGTCATAGGTGCATTTTGATCCGCATATTGTCACAGTTAAACAGTCGTGTACTGTTAGCCAAATTGTCGGTTGTCCAGTCATTCTCTCGTGTTTAGTTACAGGATAGTTGACTCTCATTTTGCCTAAAACGTCAAGAGAACGTTTTTGTGCGTTGTGGGCTTTGGAACGCGTCCTGTTTCAACTGTGGTAATTTCGCTGGGGCCAAGAGGTGATAAAGAAAGAGAGCCGATTTCCATAGTCCAGGGCTCGACGTTGCGACCCCTGGGGTCGCCAATGCGACTTGATTTTTTTTGGTGGCGACTAACTTTTCACGCCTGGTCGCCAGGCTGGCCCCCATGATATTTGTGACCTTCTCTGATAAAACGTACACTAACGATATTCCGTTAAACGGTTAGACCGTTAGCTATCCGTTAGTCATCAGTTAGACAGATCAATGAAAATCGCTAGAGGCGTTTGGCAATTCAGTCTTTAGGCTAGCAACTCATCCGTATCCGTTAGATCGTTAGTTGTATCTGTCGATCTTCTACTGAAATACACTGTTGAAGAAGTTCCAACGGGCAACGGAGACTGTCTTTTAGTGGGTCTGTAACACCATCGCTTTAGAAAAATTATTCTGTAAGAGCTTGTAACCGATGTTTTAAGGCTTCCTTTCGCACGATTTTTGCCCGTTTCAATGTCCGTTCGCATCGTACAGCATCGGTCGAAGAACTCACATACCTGCGGGCGGCGTCCACAATCTCTTAAGGTAATACTGAAGCGTAAATTTCCTCAAACAGTTATTCAAGCTTCAGGAAATGAAATACACTTGCAGTTAAACAAATTTTTTGTATTAGAAAAAAAACTCATTTGGGCTATGAAAGAACAAATCTGCAAACATTCGCTTTGCGTTCCATATTTGCATTGATGTTCAGAAATGAACATCGGTGAAATATGATCTATCTCGTTGCCTAGCACGTGATCGAAAGTCTCCTCCACAAAGAAGAAACAGATCGTCAAAATTTTCGGGCAAAAGTTGATTTGGCGAGAAGTCTGTTCAAGAAGTCTGACTTCAACGATACTTTATTAAAAGTCAATAAAATGCAGCAAAGCTCTCACTTGGGTCGTCACGCAAGGCTTTGTCGCGAAGGGCTCAAATGTCAACATAAATTTGCAGAAAAAAGTAGTTTACAAGAAGCCCGAGATAGACGTTTGTTCTTTTATCAGACTAGTCTGCAATCGAGTCCGCAATCTAGATACATGTTCGACATAAGGGAATTATTTTTAATCGATGCGCTAAAATTTATTCCCGGACAAACAAGGGACCTGTTGAGAACTGCGATCGATTTGCCCGATTAATTTTGACGGAAGTCTTAAAAAAGACTTCCGTCGAATGGTGATTTTCTCTTACAAGTAAAGTTAAAGTCGAACGTTAGACGGACCAACCGTTAGCTGCTAAGAATCAACCGTTAGATCGTAAGAGCAATCCGTTAGAACAAATCGTTAGAGCGTTGGGACAAGCCGTTAGAGCGTTAGAAAAGCCGTTAGCTATCCGTTAGTTTAACGGTAACGGAATACATAAAAACGTAAAAATGAATTTTATAACAAGTGCCATTGTAGGGGTTATGTAGCCTGTTTTGTAGAAGGTAACTTATTGATGATTTTGTTGAGGTTAAAAAGACCTTAAGTATATTGTATGCTATTTTTTCTTGAAGATAATTTTTGGCGACTAGAATACTTGTCCTGGCGACCAAAAATGAAAACTTAGAGGCCAGCTGGCCCCAAGATTTTTTTCTGAAAGTCGAGCCCTGCATACATGTGCTTCTTCCAATGATTTCCCCAAACTAATTCCTCTTCAACTATGCCGACAATTTCTTAGAAAGTAGTTAAAGAAAGTTTTTTTGTATGTGTCATTACAAATGTCACTGTAGTATGGTAGAAGGTGGTATACCTTTTGGGTCGATTTCTGCCGCTCTTTCGGTCCTCCCCGAGAAGAGTGTGTTCGGGAGAGGAACGCGGGCTCATTTCCCGAACAGCGGCTGGTAAGCGAGCCCAGTATACCTTAAATGATCAATTCACTACTTTCACATAGACCATAATGCACCTTGTTTACCTTCCAAAATTTTACATAACCATTGTTTCCAATTTCTCCTGGGTATTACAGTCGTCCCAAGAGAAATCCAAGACAATGCTTATGCAAAATTTTGGGGGGTAAACAAGGTGCATTATGGTCTATGTGAAAATGGTGAATAATAAATAATAATAATAATAATAATTTATAATAAGTAATGGTAACAGGACTGAGTGGAGTCCAATTCGGTCTGTAATCATACGAGTGATTAACAAAATCGAACGACCGCGTAGCGGGAGTCCGATTTGTTTAATCACGAGTATGATTACAGACCGAATTGGACGACACGAAGTTCTGTTACCAATTAATCATAACTTTAACAAAATTTGTGATATATAGGGCTCTTTTTAAATCAAAACACAAGAAATTCCAAGATTTTTTCGCTAGCTATGAAAAAAAAGCCATTTAAGCGCGCGCGTGATGGCGCGTACTGTCCAATTACTTAGGCATGACGCGTACTGTCCTATTAAACTGTCCTATTAAGGCTGAAATCAGGGCAGTTGAGAACCAATCAGATTTGAGAATTTTGTTATAGTTATGATTATAATAATAATAATGAGTCTTTATTTCATCGAAAGATAAAACTACATATCTTATGTTACAATAATACGGAAGATAAAAAACTATGATAAAAATATCTACATACATACATATATTAAAAAAGTATGTCATTAAAATAAATGGAGCTTAAAAATTAACCTATTTACAAAGGAGCTCATAAAACGCTGTGTATTAATTTTCGGGCGTGCACAGCCTTTTGTTCTAAGATTATGTACATAAGTCTTCTGGACAGGAATGATATCTTTCAGGGGGTGGCAGGGGGTGAATAGCAGAGCTCAGCTGAAAAATCTCAAATTTTGTCCTTTATTCGACTGTACCCGACGCTTTGTACAACATGTAGCCAGCCGTTACTGTATCACCTATGTATATCGCTTGATATTTCTTCCAGGGAGGCAAAAGCGTTAAAAATGTGTACGCGTCTCTTGCCAATGGTACTCTAGTGGTGTTTTCTAAGAAAAGCAGCAGCGAACGAAGATGTTCTCACAATGACGTGACGCTTGGATTGAAGGAAGACGACGAGATTGTCGCAAAAGAGAGTGACAAGTGGTCCAATATTCAGGTTTATGACTTATTTGTTTTTATTCAATTTTGAATTAAAGAGAGTGTAATTGGAGAAACAGTTTTTTTGTTTGTTTGTTTGTTTGTTTTTTGTTGTTGTTTGTTTGTGGTTGTTTTTTTTTGGTTAAGACTGCGCTAAAAAATACCTTTTAGATTATGAGGTTATGCATGTAAGGGCTTTTTAATGATAATAGGCCCTCAAACAATGGGCGAGACTTTAGAGGACTGTCAAGGTGATGGGCTACTTAGGTCGAAAAATAACATGCCGGTTACAATCGATTTTGCCTTTTAAGTCCCTTGAGCTCTCCAAGATAAACACCAACAAAGACCAACAAAACACTATGTGATATTGTCTGTGGTTTTTCGTGTGTTGTCGCACCCGCTGTCCCCTGCTTAGGTCGAGTGTTTGCAAGTTGAAGTTCCAGGCGTCCGCGATGTTTCATGTGATGCTGCACTTGCCTACGTTTTAGGCTGGATCACACCATACCGGATGGCTTTTGCGCCGGCGCGACAACTATACCGGATAGGACTTCTGTTCACACACAAGAACGGTGATTTTGGCGCGAACTCTGTAACGGAGCGCCTCGCCGATCTCGAAATTCAAGCTTCACTTATATCTGAGCAGGGCTCGAAACTGCGACTAACACGGTCGCCAATGCGACTAACGTTTTCTCCTTTTCTCCTGTTCGCCACTTTGGCGACCAGATTTTTCTGTGATTTAGATTTAGATTAATAGAGTTTAGTTAAAACAACATTTCATCTTATCTTGCTTTGCTTTCGTCATAAAAAATGTTTCAAATCGCATAAACAAAGCCAGTTTACCTCGAAATTTATACCAACTTCTGTCCGCGATATTTTCAAGCAATCAAATGTGATGAATTGCACCATACTATGAGCTGCGTCATTTACCTTATACAAACTGGCGACTATATTTCTCCAGTTGGTCGAGGATTTTTTAATTTCGAGCCCTGAATTCTGATAAGTTCTGTATCAACCTTTGGTGCAGTGTGAACAGGTATTTGGACCGTAGCGGAAGTGAATAAATAGGAGCGAGGCTGGAAACCACTGAGACGGAAGTAAATTTTTAGGAATGAGGATTGGAATTCTCGTCACCAAACCCTCTCAGGCAACCGCTTTAGCTTGATTTTCGATGTGTCTGAACGACTTATTCTAGTTCCGTGCCGTTGCTGCTCATACTATAACGAATAGCTTTCCGTGTCGGAACGAAAACGATATCCGGTATAGCGTAAATATAGCCTTAATTTTGCAAGCTTCAATCGGCGACAAAATTGTTGAGACATTGTACTCAAATAGGGTCTAACTGTCCATGGACGAAAAGAAGGTGAAAAATGTGAAATCTGGTAAAAAGAAATTGTATACGAATTTGATCGCTAAGCAAAAAGAGACAGGTAATCTTGAATATCTTTCAAATAGTTTTTAAATAGTTATGAATATTATAACTTGTTTTAGATAGTTAATAGTTCAAATTTCTACATAAGACTCTAGATAGTTTTCTAAATACTATTTTTGCTTGTTTTTAAATTCCGTCCATTAATGTTAAGAAACGGTCCAGATAAGAACGATAGCGCTGAACGGCAACGAACATGTTGGAATGCAAAAAAGGTGCTAACTTCTTTATTGTCTGTATTTACTTCTGACTGGCTTAAACAGCAAAAGTTAACAAAACTTCATAAAGCAGTACATATATTCATCCTTACTTTCCAACCATCTTCCATATAACAAAATCTGGTCTTAGTTTGAATAACAAAGAAATCCTATGTAGGCTTGTACATTTTAACATTTGAAAAGAACCGACAACAAAAGTTGAGAACACTAACCAGTTTTAGAAAATTGTGTTTTTTTGTGGGAAAGTTTCACCTCACATTTACGTAAAATAACGCATTTGCCGGAAGATATAGGTTAATGCATTCTCTGTGTAAAAATGAGAACATTCCTATGTGGGGAAAGCACCGTTGCCGCATAACAAAAGAAATTGCTATCCACCTTACCCGGATCATTACATAATTTTTATTTTTTTATAGTGATAGTGTAAAATTATTTTAACACTAATTTTGTTTTTATGTTTTATAGAGGGGCACAAATTTATCAGTTTTTTTCATAACTGTCACGTGTTTACCCTCATTAAATAAAGGTGTTACCTTACTCAGAAACTCATAAGGGGTTGAAACGTGTAACTCTCATATGTTTGCTCTGTCCGATGCTCGTGATTATTTATTTTCGAAAGTACCATATTTGGAACGAGAAGAAGAGATAACTGAGCAATCAAACTTCGTAAACAACGTGACGTAATTTTACTTCAGGTTCCCGCGCCCGCTTAAAAAAATGGCCGGCAAACGGGGGAAAAACTCCCGAAAGCCGAGAAAACTTTCAAAGGTTGAAACCAGGAATCGTATCCAAACAGTGAGCAGGAATATATTATTGCCTTACCACCCGGGCCAAACGTAACATTATGAAAGCCATTGACATCCTCGCAACTTCTTGAAGTTGTCACTTCAAAAAACGATGCCTCGTTGACCCCCTGCATGCACAGTAAACTTATACTGCAAATAGGTTTTTAAAATTCTTATATTAAAAGTCTAGAGTAATTATATTAAATTCTTATATTAAAAGTCTAAATTCATTAGCTGCGTATCGAAAAGCGTCCAAAACCTGAACCTGACATCTTCGCAAAAAGAGATGCGTGTAATGAATGTGAGAAGCATTTATTCAGCTTGGATGTAGAAGTCACGATCGTGGTTTGAGCGAAATTTTATGAATAAACAAACTCAAAACAATAGACAGAGAAGCCGTTTCTTGAAAATTTTTATTCAAAATCCAAAAAGTTAATCCTTTAAAGCAATTCGGAAAACACTATCTGGATCGTGGATCCGTATCGGCTGAGCATATGGCAAAATTCAACACAAAATCCATCTCAAATCGGGGCACATTTTGTAATTTTTCTTTAGCGCCGAAGAGAAAACTTTGTAAAACGTCTATGAAACATTTAAAAATACATAAATTCCCTTTCAAAAACGTAATTGTCTTGTCCACAGAGTGGAAAATGTACCTGAAAATTCAGCAAAAACTTCACTGCCTTGGTTGCATTTCAAAACAGACCATGTGCTCCGTCGTGAAGAAAACAAGGTTGAATTCCTCGAAGGACGATTTCTTGATGAAAAGCTTCCCTTCCTCCACAAAAAGAAAGCCGGGCATTCTTTTGAACTTTCTCTTTCCATTTTTTGTCTTTTAACGGTGTATTTTTAACCCGGAAATGCAGAACTCTTGTCTTAAAACATCTGCATGGTGATCGCGCGGCAGCCATTTTTTTGAAAATGGCTATCTGTCACTAAGGATTCACGAGCATTGAACGCGAGTTACACGTTTCAACCCCATATGAGTTTCTGCCTTACTTTACCTTACCTACGGTAACTCAGGAGAACAAAAGAATCCGCGCCCCTCCCCTGTCCCCTCCATTCAAAGTTGGGGTGTTTGTTGTTTTCTATAGGTAGCTCGAACATCGGCACAACATTGCATGGAGGGGATGGGGGAGGAAAAGCTATATTTCCTCCTTTTGAAGTTAATAAAACGTAAAAAAGCCCAGTTTTGGGCAAACTGTCCCAACTCATTTTGTCGCCGATTGTTGAGTTGCGTCATCGTGCTCCCGTGGTCGTGTCATATAATGTTGGGTCTGTAGGTCATATTTTTGCAACTGTGATTTCCCTATGTTTACATTTAAGGTCGCGCGAAGTTGCGTCGATGTGATGTTGCATCTTGTGTCCTAGCTAATTAAGTCTGAAAACTTAAATTGAGCGTGCTTTTCAGATTGGACAAGACTTGAGAAGATTTCTTTCACTCAGCTCGAGTTTACATATTATACAAATTGAATTAGCGAAGACAAATAAATACGTTTATATTTCGCACACTTACCTATATCTTTCGTCAATTTTATAGGTCGTGAACCTTGGTCAAAATGGTATGCCAGCCAAAAGCATGGTCCTTGTCCGCGAAAACAAAGAGTTATGGGTGGGATGTGGCAATAAGATTGTCATTGTGGACACGAAAACTCTGCGTATCTTGGACGAGATAGCTGTGTACCAGACGCAGAGAACCCATGTTCGAATCATGGTCACTGATGGCGCGCGTGTTTGGAACGCCGATAGAAAGTCGACGAAAATTTTGCAGTGGGAAGTGAGCACTCGCCAGCTCACTCACATCTTTGACTGCGATGTTGATAGTGCGGTTGGGAAAGTGTTGTGTAGCGAAGCAATGGAGCCGCGTCGCAAGGAGAGACAAGAAAGTTTGAACCGCGTACGTGACAGACCAATAAGTGATCCCCTGGAAAGTTTTGACCAGCCGTCTTACACGGAAGCTATGTTTAAAGAGGCGATGAACCGCGAAGGGAACGAAGATGTCAAGACAGAATCCTCGCGCAAACATTATTCCTTTCCGCGGAATACTCCCAGCCTTAGTTTCGGAATTGCTGAGGACGAGGATTCGGACATCTCAGCAAAATCTGTTTCTCCCCCTGTTTCTATTCCCGGTTCACAGGCACGGTTTCGTGGGGAAAAAGTCTCCCAGGGAACCTTGCCCAGTCGTGGTCGCTCCCTTTCAGCGAAAACCGAATCCAGTGCTTCCCTTGATAGCGGCATTTCGTCTCTACGCACCACCTCCATAACAAGAAACGACACTGAACGAACAGTGAAGAATATTTCGAGCACGAATTTGCAAGACGACTTGCAAGATGAAAAGGCCCCTGTAAGGGAAACTTGTGAAGAGGTTCATAGCAAACTGGAACAAATGAAACCTTTTCATACCGAACAGGAGCTAGATTCAAATGGAGGATTATCAACCGAGAGTCACAAAGGGTCTACAATTGATCAACAGCAAGACTCTAGTGAGACAGAAAATATTGGGAGTTGCTCCTCAGAAAGTGAGCCTGACACCCAACAAGTTCGGACCGAGTCTGTGATCACAAGCGACGAAAAAGTCGAAGAACTCGATGGTGATCAAAATGAAGCTCAATTCGAACTAGTAGACAAGGAAGAAACGCGACAGGCCTTTGTGGAGGGCACAAAGAAAGTTCCTCGCTCTGAAGAAGGTAACTCTCAACACTGTCTCTCAATGGACACTTTGCAGATGCGTTTCAACGCTTCCTCTCGTGCGCCTTCACTAATGAGTTCGCAGAGAAGAAGGTCGCAACGTCGGCCAAAACCTCAAGAGAACAATAATAATAATAACAATGTGCCACCTACCTCTACGAAACCCTGGGCGCGTAGACCACGTTTGCGCATACTAGCCGGTTCAATAAACCGCGTGACAGCGCTTCTGTTGGTAAATGGCACGTTGTGGATTGGACGTGGTGTTGGTGACATACTCACAGTAAACGTAAATTCAGCCAATAACGGACTTCCTCCTGGTCACGTGTTTACGCAACTTGAGAGCGACAATCTCCTGGGTTACCAGAACGGGCAAGTGGATGAGATTGTTACTAGTGGCACGAGTAAAATCGTCTGCCTTCGTCGGCTGGAGCTCGATCGAGGGAGCACGACGAACGAAGATCAATTCACAGAGCGTTACCAGTTGACCGTGTGGGAGGCCTGGGGCGAAACCGAGTTTAGGAGGTTTAAAGATCGCCTGGACGACTTTAACGCTTTAGTTGAATGATTCATTTACAATGGCCTTAAACTCAACTTTTTATGGTCTATTTTAGTCATTTCGCGTCAGCGACTCCATAATTATTATCTTTATCGAAAAAAAGCATTTCTATTGTAGTCCGAAAAAGGCAACACTAGGCCGGTTATTTATACGAATTCCAACTTAGACCAGCCTTGCATAGATTGAAATAATAGGTGGACCTTTAAAACTATTTGTAACCTGTTGTTTACAGTTGTTAAGAACCTTTGAAAAAGTCTTTAAGGCCGGTTAGTTAGACACCAGTTTAATTCTGCTTAAGTAACTGGCCTGTGATTTTTATTCGTAAGTTTCTATTGAGTGGTTTTCTTTCATTGTTCCTCATTTTCTGTCACCGCGTTCCAGTCCAGATCTGAGTCTGTTTCTCTGTCACGCACCACCTGGAGTGAGTTACCCTTTCTCCAAACGTTGCGTGACAGGGAGCCGGAACTGGAATAAACTTGATTATGCTTACAAATCCAAAGTCCTCTTTTAATAGAAAAGTATCTTTAGATGTGGTATATATAGCTTACGTTACGATATGATAGATTAGTTTGCTGTTTTTTAAAACACATTGTACGTAGTGGTTGTACCACTCTAAAAGAAAGCTGCAGTGATTGAAGCTGTACTCAACAACAGAACGAGAATTTTTTATCGAGTTTTTAAACAGCTTAACATTTAGGCTTAAAGAACGGCTGTGTCTTATCAAATTATAGGATACTAAACACTCATTCTCTTGATATTTATAGAGTGGGCCCTTTTTAGTGACTGGAGGTTACATTAAGAAATTTTAAAATTTATAGTCCCATCTTTATAACAAAGCAAAAAACAACCCTGGGCTGTACTGGGCGAAGTGTTTAAGTTTTGGCACCTCAGCACAGGAGTTAAACTTAAAAAAAGTTTCAGCTTGCAAAGAAAGTAGTGTCCGATAGCCCGGGGCTAGTGGATTTTGCTATCGGGCTAATGAATTCTGTTCTTAACTTGCCCGACGGGCAAGTGGAGTTTTTTGAGGAATTCAAATTACATAAGAACTGTGTAATCAATCCTGCTTATCAAAAACGTTTTTGGGGCTAGTTGAAAAAAGAATTTTGGGCTAGTACATGCTAGATACAGTTTACCCGAATGGCAAGCTGTAAAACTGACTTTCTTTGCACCCTGAGTTTGCTCAATTTTTTCAAGTTGCTATCTATTTGCATCCTGGCCATAGAAGGTCAAATCATGCATTTATAGTTGAGGTATTACTTATAATACCAGAGTAATTTTAAAGAAAACTGAAGCATTATGTCAGAGTGTTCTGTTATTCCAATGTGTTTTTAGGGTGTTCCTTTATATAGAGGAACTACGATAATGATTAATTAAATTAGCGACCTAGAGGCATACTAATAGCTGTCCTAGCTACCAAGAAAATGATCAAGTACGCGAATAGTTTATCAGTGGGAAACATTTCTCCCCAGTGATAAATTATTTATTTTTAGTCAGAATAAGCAAGTAATATTTATGATAGGTTCTTTAGGAGATATATTTTTTTAAGAGGAAATATAGTGTAAAGTAATTGCATACACCACTTTAATTGCGAATTAAAAGAATAGTTTTAAATACATGTATTCTTTCTTCTCGTTGACCATTGTAATCTCGATTAATGTAAAGGAAATTTGACACAAGATGAATGGAAGAATCGTTAACGCCTAATGACCCAATTAAAATCTTTGAAATTTGTTGTCTTAAAATTTTAAAAGTCTTTAAAAATGTGGTACATACACTAACGTTTCTGAGCGATGCGCTGCAATTAATGAAAGTGATTGTAGTTTATAGAAACTATTGAACCCATTTGCCCCTGGATATTTTCCGAAAAACTATTCGAGGTTCTATCTAGCTAAAGAGATTCACATCTACCAAAACAGTGTCTATAAGACGGGCACTACGTTAAAAAATGTCAAAGTACACTTTTCAAAATGTGGGCAAGTGCAAAAGCGAAATTTCGAGAGTGACAATAAAAGTGACGCTGCCCCCTTCACTTATACCTTTCGTTTACTCTCTACCACTCTGTTTGCTTTTCTTCTCTTTTGATGAGCTTTTGCTGAGCATTTGCTTGGAGTTTCTGTGCAAGTTAGGTAATATGTATATGATTTACAATCGGATTTTTAACTAATGTTGGATTTTTTTTTTTTACATTTTACTCTCGTTTGTTTGTCTGTGTCAGTATTAATTTAAAAGACCTCCCTCTGCAAAAAGTTAAGTGTCAAAGTGGACCGTGACCGTCACAAAATCCGTCACAAGTGGTTTACACCATGTCCCTCGTTTCCAGGGTGCGCTCTCTTGGGAACGAGGTTGCCTAAAGGGGCGTTTCTCGACTGAGGTTCTCGACTGAAGTTTCAGTGTGTTACTAATGACGCCGAGCTCCAGATACACGAACTATAGGGAAACATCGGCTCCTGCTTCATCATTACAATTTAAAATCAAACTCATCGTTTCCAGTCGCTCCGTGGACAAGCCTATAGAGGATGAGAGAAGACGATCTTTCACCCATGCTAATTTTCTCAATCTTAGCCTGCAATGTATGCGTATTTTTTGGCCGAGCGAAAGTTGCTTGTCTTTGTTTCGCCCCATGTAACGGATTCCAGAATCCGGTAGCCTGTATGCAGATCCCCACCCCCCCCCCTCCCCCCCTCCGATTTTTCCTGGAGTGTTGGGGGGTCTGACTAGATTCTAGGAAATTTTGGCTTGTGGAACCTGAATCCTGAGGCTTGGAAGCGGGAATCAGGCCAAATGCACCCGGAACCAGACTAAATAGAGGATGTGAGGAGTCGCTCTTTCACCCCTGTTTATTTTTTCCAGCTTATCCTTTCATGTATGCGTTTTTTTTGGCCGGGGCAAAGTTGCTTGTCTTTTTTTCCCCCCCTGTAACCGGTTCCACAAACCGGTAGCCTTTTTGGAGGTCCCCCCCCCCCCCCTCCCCCTCTCCGATTTTTCCTGAAGTGATGGGGGGTCTGACTAGAATCTAGGAAATTTTGGCTTGTGGAATCTGAATCCTGAGCGTTGGAATCCGGAATACAGCTCAAGGCATCCGGAACCCTACTAAAGACTGGATGGAATCTAGTACCTGGAGTCCGGAATCCACGACGTGGAATCCAGAATCCAGGACTGCCTTGGAGTCCCTTACATGGGGTGATATGTTCGTGACGCTGTGGGCGACATCATTTGTTTTACCTTACACTAAGGAAGATCGGGGAGCCTTGAAATAGCAATCCTAGAGCGAAAAGAAGTCAAAAATTCTCTCTTCCGCTCCTCTTTGGGACGCCCTAACACTTAAAACATATTTTTTTAATTCACTGAGGAGATTGCGGTTACGCGAGAAGAGACGTTCGCGCGAATACGTCTGCAAGGTTATTTAAATCTAAGCTCGCTCTAGGGGTAAATATAGTATTAACATTAGATATCATGCGCTTACCAATTGTCATTGCGGGATTTTCCTCATTTGATTATGCGAAATTCAGGTGCTATTTAACAATTATTCCACGAGTGCTCATTAGATATTCAATTGTAGGAGCCAACGAGGTGCGTGGCGCCGAGTGGGCTATAATCATCTCATGGCAACAGACACGAGTGCAACAATTTTTTTGTTAAAAACGCCTACAAAATATCGAAAATTCTCCCCGACTTAATTTGTAAAAATGACCGTTTTTCAGCTTGTTTTTAATTTTGAGCAGACGCGTTGTATTATCCAATGATTCAGATTTTAATAAAAGCGAATATTTGCTTTGCTGACGACGTCGTTGTTTACGATGTTTTTTGCTCATTCTCGCAATTCGTAGAAGGCGGAGCCGTATGTGAAAATTAAGTTCAAGGGGGAATCATTGGCGGATTCAGACCTTCAGATAAGGGGGGGGGGGGGGGGCGGTCATCCCGACCCGGAGAAAAAGGGGGGAGACTTGGGTCTGAAAATAAGGGGGAGGGGGCCCCTCCCTTGGCGCCCGCATTTGTTTTTTTTTGTTTTTGATCGAGATTGTTTTATAAGTGTATTTTTATTAATTAAATAAAAGATGTTGTTTTTTTTGCGGGTCTTGTTTTTGTTTTTTGTGTTTTTTTTTTTCTTTGCTGGTGTGGGGGGGGGGGGGCTGTTTGAAAAAAAGTAGTTGAGGGGGTTTTTGTGGGGGGAGTAACCATAGTAGGGGGGGGGGGGGGGGGGGGGGAGGGCGGTCATCCAGACCGTGAGAAAAAGGGGAGCGACTTTGGTCTGAAAATAAGGGGGAGCGGGCCCCTCCCTTGGATCCGCCACTGGGTATTGGGAAGAGAAGGCAAGTAACAAGTACAATTTTGGAAAAACTTAATTTGATATTTTTGACGCTACCTAATCTCTTCTAGTTATTTTCTTTAATAAATTTGGCCGATCGGTGCGTTATTCCTCTTTGAAGACAACAAAAATGCTCCACAGCTAAAAGAGAGAGATTAAGAGTCATGTTTACGACAAGACAAACGTCAGATTCAAGCTGAGAATTTCTCAGAATAGAAAATAAGCAGATAAAAACTGTACGGGACAATTCTTATGGATAAAACTGGCTTGAAACTACTTCTTTTTTGAGTACAAGTGATAAATAGTATGTGTCAATTGAGGGGAAAACTTGGCCACGTAGTTCCAATTCACGTTTGCCGTTTGGTTTAAACGCACTAATTCCATCGTCTTCTCTTGTTTACTTGTAGCTATTTTGCACCAGTAGTTATTGTTTGTTTCACGGGTTTACTCTGACAATTAGTCATAGTGTGGTTTGATGGTTTCTTTTCTTTTTTTAATATTTAAACTTCGCTCTGTGACACAAAAGAAATAGTTATCTAATTAAAAGCATTATATGGATTAAAATAGTTAATTAAATAATTAATCACGCCTTGTGTTCTTCTTAAGGCTGCCTAGGAACGTTAGACATTACCTGTTTTACAGAAAGGAGTTGTAACAGTTGATATTTTTGCCATGTACTATTAATAACCACCTGCGTCAGACG